TTTTGTTGTTGTTGCAATCATTTTGTCCTATAATAATGATAAAAAATATACATATATTATCCTTTAACAAACGTGAGATATGTTAAAGATTCGGGGAAATTCACCAGCCCATGATATTGCAAACTCATAAACAGGAAGCCATCATATCATAGTTGCAATCGCACATGCCAATGGTTTGAACAGTAATACTATGATATATCCCATCATTTTATTTTTTACATTTTACTTGGGGCATTTAAATAGGGACTTTTTTAACTCATTTTTCCTTATTAAGAAGAAGAATGGGCATTTAAATGTGATTTGGCTCGATTTTTATTAAAGTTATTTGAATTAAATAAAAAAATTATGTATAGTTTGATTTTAATTATTTTTTACACATTAAATATTAATCAATATTTTATGTGAGAGTTTTTTTTTTTAAGTTTTTCTATAATGAAAGAGTTTGTAAGAATTTTTAATTTTTTAATTTAATTTAACTTTTGTTTATAATAATAATTTGTGAATTAAATATTTATATTTTAAAATAAATTATCAATAAAAAAAAAAAATTTGATACCACACAAACTATTTATCATAAATATAAAATATAATTTATATGTTTAAAAATATTTATATATACTAATTTTAAATATAATTTATATATTTAAACATAATATTATATATACAATTTATCATAAATTTTAGTTATGTATAATTAACATGCATGTATGTTATCCAAGTTAAAAAGTAATCACCTTGTTTTACACATTTTGTTGACCATTATATCATTTCATTTTAAAAAAATATAAAAATAATATTTTTATCAAAATCAAGACCTCAAAATTAATTGACTAATTATAACATTAGATCAACATATATTTATTACTTAATTTTTATTTTATTTTATTTTTAATAGAAACACAAAATGTCTCGACCTTAATTATATATATAATAAACATGTCTATATTTTATACGGTTAAAATACTAGTGCATTATGAAATTCAAACTGAACTAAATCAATATGTTGTGGATTGATTTGGTTTGATGTTGCAATTTTTAAATTTTTTTATTTCAATATTAACTAAAAATTATAATATTACGTTATTTGTTTAAGAATTGTGCATCAAAAATAAAATTATAAGTATACTAATACTAAAAACTAGTATTTTAGCATCTACAATACATAAGTTAAATGTTTATTATATATAACTAAAAAATTCTAACAAATTATATACACAAATAAATATTATCTTTGATAAAGGTGTCAAAATGAACCAACTTGATTGACACAGGTTAACTCAACAAAAATTGGTACTTTAAACGGGTTAAATCAATCCAACTCATTTTCTAATGAACCAGAAAAATTTAACTCACCACGAGTTAGTTGATTAATTTATCAAAATTTTTTAAAATTAAAAAATTAAAAATATATATTAACGATATGTTCCTATTTTTAATAAATAAAATAAAAAATTATAATTTTTTAATATAAAAAACCAAATTTACTATTGATTCAAATATAAATAAAAAAATATTAATCAAAATTTTAAATACGTCTTAATATATTATAAAGTATAGTTATGGGGATCAAACATCTTTCGTAAGGTACAATTTAATAACTTACAATTTAATAAAAAAAAATCTTTTATATATGTATCAATTTGTATACCTATATTATATATTAGGAATATATATATATATATATATATATATATATATATATAATCACATTTCAATCCAAAAATTGAGCTGAACTGCATAATTTAGGAAAATAAAAATTAACATAATTTTCCATCATTTCCAATTTTTTTAATCAATTTGTGATTTTGATTTGTGTTCAATTGAACTAATTCTAACACCAAACAATAGATGCAGAAAAAAATAAAATTAACGCCTGGTCCAAATAAAATATTTTTAATAATAAACAATGCCTCTATAGTAAAAAAGTAAAATTAAAATATATTGAAAAGATAAAAAAAAATGTATAATTTAGTGAAACCCATATAACATGTTAAAGATTAAAAAGAAATCAATTAAAGGGGATACTTGCTTAAATTTTAAAAAATAAAATAAATGAGTGATGTGTAGAATTCAGATTTATTTTAGATTTTAAAGAGGAATGTTAGGTAGTGGATGTTCTAACATTTATCATGTATTTTTATTTTTATTTTTCCAACTACATCGTATTACTTATCATATTTTTTATTTTTCTCTTTTATTTCTTTTACAGAAGTCGAATAGTAATTTGCATGTCAAAAAAATACTTTTAGATTAGTTTTGGGTTTTGGGGGATATGGTGGCTCTAACAAACGTTTAGACTTTAGAGTAGTATTCAATTTATTATGGGTATCTCTTAATTCACTGAAAACAGAATTTTACTTATTGTAATTGTCTCTAATCTTAATATTTTTTTGCAAAATTAAAATTGTATACAATTTTTTTTATTAAATAAATCGTCTCAGCAGCATGTGAATATAAACCATTAAGATAACTCATTAGATTAATCTAACATTCCATTGATTACATTGAAAAAGACAAACGGAACCAACTTACTCTAAATTCAAAAGTGGAGCAACAATCTGTGTGAGCTACGTAGTTCACCAATTTTAAAGTATTTTTAACAATTTAGTTAGTTTAATTTAATCGATTAATTCAATTATTTGAACCAAACTAATTAAATGGGTTTTTTTTTCTTCTCTTATTGAATTTGACTCAAACCAAACGGTCCAAACCAATAAGACCATGTATTCATTAGTTTGAATATTTAATTTATATTTTACAATCTGATAACCCCGATCTAATGATCTTTAATTTAATTTAATTTTTTTTTCATTTCTCTTCTTTTGCCAGAAGTAAAAAAACTGTGATGATGTCCAAAAGGTTGGCTTGTCCACACTGGATTGGGCCTGGACCAGTATAGGCCATGATTAGATCACTTTTAACACATCAAATAGGAACAATAATTATTAACACTAAAATACTACTTTATTTATATGGGGGTCAATCATAATCTCTTATTACAAATACATTAATACAGGATAAAAATCAATTCAAGGATGACTACATTTTAATTTTTCTTTATAATTATTTAAATATATTCTGATATTAATATTCTTACGAATATTTTGAACGAATATTTATCTGCTTGTTAATTTTGTAATTTTTAACAAAATCCATCTATAAAAGAAAGAGTGTCAATCAAATTTTGTACGTCATTGGTATGTATATTAATATATTAATTACCAAATAAAAATTAGAATGTATATACTCTTTTGTGTCTAAGATATAAGAAAAAAGAAAATCACATGCATATTAATTTTAAATTTAACGGATTTTTCCTAATTTGACCTCATTTGTTGTAAAGGTGTAAATAGGTTAAATAGACTTAAGCTTTGTTAAGCCTAAATTTGACTTTTTTTGAAAATACATGTCATAAATTTGATCTATTTATTTGTCATATATCTTTTTAAAGGATTAACCTAACTTTCAAATTTGTTCAATAGCCTATTTTATAATAATTTTGATATCAAGTTAGAAATCAAAGATAGATATGTTAGGTTTTATAAAATTAAATCTAACTTATTTATATGAGATAAATATTTTTTAAGGTTAATAACTTATTTGTAAATATTTTTTGTAATAAAAATGTTAAATAGGACATAAATTTATCTTTCAATAAACTTATAAACTACACTTTTTTTTATATAAGTCGACATGCTTTAACTTATAAAATGGAAATTATATATATATATATATATATTAGGAGTATATAATTTGATATAATAATAAATATTTTTTATTTAAATAGGTTAGTCTAGTAGGTTAGTAAACCTTTTAAATGACATAAAGTTTGAACCTTTAATTTAATTGGTTCTAATAAAAGCATTGGTTTGGCCTATGTTTTAAAAAGTTTGGCTTGATGTAGGTTAGGTCATAGACTCGTGTCCAACAATTTGACATGTTTTCATCCCAAATTTATTATTACTATTTTCAAAACACCTTTCATTTAATTGAGATTTTATTTTCCTTGAATTTTGCTCTCTTTTTTGGTATCAAATTTCAATAAAGCATAGATTGAATAGTTCAAAAGAAAAATTTATTTATTTTAAGTGAAATTAGTGCAATTAAATTATACTAACCAATTTTATTAATTAGTGTAAATTAGTTTTTTTTTTCATATATAAGACTTGAGAGAGTACTATATAAGAAACATTCATGGGTTCGACTTCTCATGAATTCATCCTCAAGTATTGTACTGCCCTTGTATTTTGCCAACTAATTTATCATTCTAATATTTTCTGACTAATGTATCATTTATGTATTTTATCGACTAGTTTATTATTTTGTTGATTAATATATCATCTATGTATTTATTTAATTGTATGTTTTTGAAGCGCATGTATTGATTGAGTATCGTGTCGGTAACATGCTGAGTTAATATCTACTTTGATTATAGTTAAGGAATATTCGGAGAGATAGCCCCCAATATATAGATATTTCCTTTGCACTAAAAAGACAGATTTACTCATTGGTGTTTTAGGTATAGATAGTTACTAGATGTTTTGGTGATCGTCCCCCATATTAGAACAATAACTATATAACAAATACCCAAAGACAACAATTTTTTGATGATCCTAAATTACATGATCCTTAATTAATTTCTACACAATAAAAAAACTCACAACATAACTTTAAAAAAAATTAATGAAAGTTTATATATATATGAGTGAAAAATAATTTTTATCTTAAAAATTAGTTTTGTTAAGTCTCACTATGTTGTTAATATATTTTCTTATAATAATTAGAATTTATCTCAATATCATTATACCAATACTTCAATTATGCAAGGTATAGGTTAAAGATCTCGTATCAACAAAAAAATATTTTTTTTAATGAATATAATTTACGTATCTCTTAAAGTTAATAATTAAATATTAATCTCTATTAACCGAACATTATTTTAATGGAAATCAAACATAAAAAATAATGTCAACAACAGTCCCCAAAGAAATCAGAAAAAAAAAAAAAAAAAATCAACATTCCTTAGCCCATGGTGTGAGTTTCTGTGGTAATTCTTCAAGCACCTGGGCCGCCACCCCGCCTACACCCACTCCCCCTCGGCCTTCGACCATGCCATCGACATCGCGGCCCGCATGCGCGACTACAACTCCGCATGGGCCCTCCTGGCCCGCATGCGCTCCCTCCGCCATGGCCCAATTCCCCGCACCTTCGCCATCCTCGCCGAGCGCTACGTCTCCGCCGAAAAGCCCCACCGCGCCGTGAATCTCTTCCTCTCCATGCACAACTATGGTTGCCGCCAGGATCTTCACTCCTTCAACACCATCCTCGACATCCTCTGCAAGTCCAAGCGCGTCGAAATGGCGCACGACCTCTTCAAAACCCTAAGAAACAAATTCAACGCCGATAGCATTAGTTACAACATAATTGCCAACTGTTACTGCATCGTTAAGCGCACGCCGATGGCGTATAACACGATGATGAAAGGGTATTTCAGGAATAAACAATTGGAGAGCATGTTCTGCATTCTGCTGGACACTGGTGATGAATCCACCATTGCTGAAAATCTTGCTTTCAGGTTCATTTGAATATTGCATTTTGATATCCTTTTTTCTATTTGTGTTCTTGAACAAAACATTATATGGTGTGGATTTCAATGTTTTATGGTGCTTAAACTTTACATGATTATTGAGTTTCCTTGATTCTAAGCTTGGCTTATTTCAAGTTACAATGTGATATGTTGCTGAAACAGAGTTTGGTTCAATAAGCATTTTTCTTCTTGTTATCCTTGGATGTGTATACATAACACAAGGGCCATGGACTCTGTTAGTTGGCAAGTAGGATATTGCTTAGGTTCATTTTAAGTAAATCAATATGCGAAAGCCTAGAGAATCCTCAATGCTGAGGGCATTTGCAAAAATAGGCAGTGAATTGGTTAAGAGCTCACGAGGCTGACACCGGTTATCCTGTCTATGATTTACTTTTCTATTAAAATTTTAGCTGGTGGATATGGTAGGTACATCATTTATTAGAGCATCTACAATGGGAGTTGCTTATAAGCAACTTCCATCCACTTTAAATGGGTCCCACCATACCAGGTCACTTATAAGCAATTCATAGTGCTAAACACCATTCCTTGCTGAAGCAATGAAGCTAAAAAAATTGGAACTTTTCTTGCCTCGTAGGATCACTCCAATGGCAAATTCTTGTAAGCTCTGTTGCTTATTTTTAAGATACATCTAAGCACTCCCTGTTGGGGGTGCTCTTATCAAGTTAGTTGTTAATGTATTTTCTTCAACTTTCATGATAGTCATGTTTTAAGAAAGCAGGAAAGTTGAAAGGTTCATAAATAATGTTGTTACTGTTCTAATAAAAAGCTGCATATATTATTTGGGTTTGTGTGACGATCACAGGAGATGCTAGATATGAAAATAACTGATAGAAACAGTTTCTTTATTTTAATTGTTCTTAAAAGAATGAAATTGGATATTTCCTGCACTTGACCAAGCACCTCTCAGTATGTTTTTCAGTCAAGCATGTGATTTTGAAAACAATATTAATAACCAGGAATTCCTCGGCCACTACTTTTATTCCTTTGCATTGATATCTATGCATATATATAAGTTCATATATACTATTTAACCTAAACGCTCTTCATTCAAAATAGACCATTACTTTTCTTTTGGAAGAGGCTGTACATTGAAGGGGTGTTTCTTTTGAAATGCTTTATGCAGCGTTAACTCCTTTTAGCAAACAATGTTCCAATTTGAATTTTGACATTCTTTTTTCCAAAGGGTATACTTAATAAATGAATGAAAGATAGCTAAATTGCGTGGATGGTGCATTTAGTGGCTATCTGGCTTATCTGCTTGTTTAGCAGATTATATACCTTTTTGTTCAACTGAATTTTATGTGCTCTTCCATATACAACTGTATAATGAAGGTCAAAGTTCACCATTATTCATATTAACCAATATCTTGCTCATTACCCAAATTTTAACCACACCTGGCCCAACTGTGAATGCTAAGCTAGTCTTCTACAATTTGATCCTATTTCAGGCCTGAAGATGGGAGAACATTGGTACTTATTTGCCTGCTACAACTTTGCCACATTGGGCTATACTACATGATTGGTTTGACATTTTTTAGATGTAGTATGTTTTTGGGTTTGTCTGTTTAACATGTGAAGAAAGATGGGCATATGGGTCCTGTTGACTGCCTCTTCGGAATGTTGGTTCATTTGCTAAATGAAATTGGATATTTCTTGCTCTTACAATTCAAGGGTCTATCACGGATGATCATGAGTGTTACAGTTCCTTCAAGCATACTCAGAATTCACCCGTTGCTTTACATTAGAGTTCTGCAAATGAACCAGTGGCATCATTCTTTTCTACCTTTTGGTAGTACTCAATTGTAACTTGGGTTAAGCTTGATCAATCAAGTATTCTGTAATTTCAGTGCAGGGATGAAGTCGGGCTAGATAATGTAGCTTTAAACACAATAATCCACGAATCATCTTCCTTGCGTCCCAATTCAGTCTAGTGTAAAGTCAAATATGTACTGTGTTTTGAAATGAAGAACTCTTTGTAATTTACCAAATGTATTATTTGATACAGAGACATTATTCTACAGTGACCAAATTATGGTATTTGATCAATTAGGTACAAGTTTGCGGAGGGTGATCACGAACAATGCATTATTTAATCAGGAGAGCATGCATGTCCGAAGTAGCCTCAACGTTGCCTATTGAAGTCCATTACTAGCTTGGCAACATTGCTCTCCCTTTTATTCAATTAATTGTTGAGAGAGCTCTTCCAATTGGGAAAAAGGATTACTCCTGGCTTTCATGTTTTGATGTGACATTAGTTGTAGGATTAGGAAGTTGAGTGATTTATATTTTCTACTTTAAAGAGGTTGTAACAATAATATGGTCATTTTTTGGGATATACTTGTACATAACTGAAGTGAGAATATTTTCTCCGGTTAAAGTCTTTTTCATTAAGAATTTGGTCATTTTTCATTATGTGGGCTTGTTTGTTGGTAGCTATTTAAACGCAAGTGTTCAAATTGCTATGGATGAAATTCATTGTTTGCCAATAGATACTGTATTCCTGTTTCTTCTGGCAGCAGATTTCTAGGTTCTTGGAGACCTACTACCTGTCCTATTGCTGTTAAGAGTTTGTTGTTTCCGTCTTCCCTTTTGATAGATTGGACTGAAACTCGAGTAGTGGACAGCTGGAGGGAAGTAGCAGAAGATTTATTAGGGCATCTCAGTTGGCAAAAGTTAAAAGTTAGGACCCCTTTTATGCGTAGTTTCTTTTTTCCAAAGATTTAAAAACACATTACTTTCTTTGCTTAGCTAATAACAGTATATTAATATTATTTTTACTTTCTTTTGTTTGCTAATCAAATAAAGGAACCTTCCTTTTATCTCTCTTCTTTCACCAAAATAAATATGGAAAACTTTTTTTTCATTTGCTCTCCTTTTATTCTCTTACCCTTTTATTTTTTTTTCTATTCATTTTTTCTTCACTCCCTTCTTTGAACCAAGCACCCATAGACTAAAGATGGTTTTCTCTTTACCTTGTCATGGTAATTGTTGGCTTTTTTGCTCACAAAAATGTCTGTCATCGAGCAAAATATTAATAGCTGCTATTTTTTCAAGGAAATAAACTAATTCAACTATAAAAACCAAGGAAGATGTTCCACGATGTGACTCCTGAAATTGCAAGATTTCTAATCATACTAAGTTGTAATATTTTACTATACTTTAAAAAAAATGGTAATGAAAATAATTCTTTTATGAAGTTAAAAAAACAGTTTTGCCCAAATAAAAGAGAGATTAAATGGAAATATATGAAATGTAATTGTATTAAAACAGAATGTAACCTATCAACGGGGCTTGAGTGAATGTTGGAAGAGATGTTCACATTTAATATATGACTGTATGTTGAATAAAATTGTTTCTAAAAGAATATATATATAGTGAAACTATTTTTTGGTGATAACATAATAAAACTTAAATATATCGTTTTGATTGTTGTATCAACACAATTTTTTTTAGGTGTATTAGCAGAATTACTCTGGGTGAAAAAGCACAAAATGATTTAAAGTCTTTTGGGTAAAAGACATGAAAAATGTTCCACGATGAGTCTCTTCAAGATGCCAATCAGGCAACGTTCTAATAATCTCCCACTTCCAAGAAAGTAGTGTGATCATAGTATAAACAAACAGTTTTTTCAAATAAAAAGATATAGTAGTATTATATAAAGCAAAGCAGAAAAACGTTGTCTTTGAAGAATTTAGTTAAGATAGAGGTTTGGTTGTTTGAACACGTGGCTTTCCGTAGGTATCTCCCTCCACGCAGAGGCAGAGCGATATGGAAGCAACGGCAACCATATATATAAAATATAAAAAAAAAAAAAATAGTTTCAAGTTCCAACCCAACCCAATCTCACTGACTCAGTAAGATGCTTTTGATAGTAAGACCCTGTTCTTCTTCCGTGAGTATTCATCATTTTCAGCCCAAGCCGCAGCGTAGCAGAAACGTCGTCGTTAGATGCTCCTTGAGCAGCGTGGAAGAGAAAAGAGGATTGGATTCGGAGCTGCAGGCTTCGGTGCCGTTCCCTCCGATCAGGGTGGCGAAGAGAGTGGTTCTGGTGAGGCACGGGCAGAGCACGTGGAACGCGGAAGGGAGGATCCAAGGAAGTTCCAATTTCTCGGTTCTCACGAAGAAGGGCGAGTCTCAGGCCGAGACTTCGCGCCAAATGCTCATCGACGATCACTTCGATGCATGCTTCGCTAGGTTTCTTCTTCTCATCACTTTAATTCGATCCATTGCTTGTTTATTGCCATTGCTTATTGTGCTCTTTCTTGTTGTAATCTAGTCCTTTGGCTCGATCCAAGAGAACCGCTGAAATCATTTGGGGACCTCGCCAAGAGACCATCGTTCCCGACATTGACTTGAGGGAAATCGATTTGTACTCCTTTCAAGTATGCTATGCTCCACCCTAACATAATATTATAGTTTTTTGTTTTAGGATAAATTTGATTAAACATCCATTTTGGTCCATGAATTGGGAAGCCGTTGTACTCTCATATTAGTCTCTCAAACTCATAAATTCTCAAACAAGTCCTTGAAATGTCGAATATGTACTTAAATTTAATTACTTACTATCTTTTTGGTCTTGAATATATATCAACATTCTTACTTTAGTCACATTTTTTCAAGTTTTAGACTAATGTGATAGTAAATTTGCACTTTAGGGTCTTATTTAATAATTTCTTAAGTTTAGAAACTAATATGACAACGCCTTCTAAATTCAAAGGCCAAAGTGGGTGTTTATTCGTTTAAGTTTTTATGCGCATTTAGACCGTCATCTAAATCCTAGGCTTTAAAGTAGTTAGTATAAAGGTCAACAAAATTATTATATTTGTCAATTTCTGATTGATTAATAGTATAAAAACTAGTTACGTCGGCCAAGCATATTCTATTTACTCTAGTTGTTTTTCACTACTATTTGAAAAATAATTTAATTAAAATGCACTCACCTGTTAAAGGTTTTATATATTGTCGTCTAATTATACATTGTCTTGTCATGTATGATAAGATTAAGATTATTGAATTTTGTGATAATTATTGACGTTATATTTAATTTTAGATTGATTTTTAATTAGTTGCTACTTGATAGGGTAAAATTCTGTACATTCAGTGTATGAAAGTCAAACTTTATACTACGACCTCTTTGGTTTAAGAAAACATTTTGCTTTCTTTTTGCTATTCACAGTTATAAAATTGTCAACTTGTTTTTGCTTTGTTTTCACGATGTTAAAGATTTAAATAGGAAATAGTGACAGCAAGGCTTTGTTGTTTCCACTGTTAGTTGTACAAATCTTTGTAATGAAGAAAACAAGTAAAAGTAGTGACATTTTTGTGATTATTCATAAAAATAAAAAATGAAAATTCAAAACATTTTGTCAAAGCAAGTAGACCTTTATTGTCAGATTTTTGAAAACATGGACAGAACAAAAATAAGAAAACATTTTTGTAAGAATTTCATTTCTATGCATTGTTCGAACAAAATGTTTTACATTGTCAATCAATGAGAACTATGGTTGGCTTGAGTTTTAAGATAACTATTGTAAATGTTAATAGACTTGCTATATATGGTAGATTGTGATTAAATGGCAGTGTAAAAATCATTAACACTGTTAGAGCGTACGTTATTTTTTCTTTTTGTAATTCTTAGTGAGAATGGGAAATGAAAAATAGCAATTTTTTTTTAACCAAACAAGCTCTTAACCAGTGCTTGTTGATTCACATGACAATGAGCTTGGTTTTCCTTAAGCATGACCTTGGATTCAAATCTTGTGTATGGAAAAAATAAGCATTAAGAGAGCTTTGCTTCCTTAAGTGGGTTCACCGAGCTCAACATAGATTAGTCAAGATTTAAAGTGACTTCTGCATAATGAGGGTCTTAAGGCCTGGAAAAAAAATAATCCAAACAAGCTCTTAGCTTTCTAGTCACGTATTGCCTTTGTTATTTGGATGGAAGAATAAAAATATTGATAATTTGAACTTTGAAAGATGAAATTGATAAAATTAATCTGTAAGGTACCGAATTGAATAAGCTTGTATCTTTTTAAGTACTAAAATAGTGGTTGTTCTAAGGTATGGCCTTGTGACTTGGTCTGACTGATCTCTTGTCGCTTTAGGGTCTGTTGAAGCATGAAGGGAAAGCGAGATATGGTGCTGCTTACCGTGAGTGGCAGGTGGATGCTGCGAACTTCATGATTGATGGCCATTATCCTGTTAGAGAGTTGTGGGACCGTGCTAGAAGCTGCTGGACTAAAATCTTAGCTCATGATAGCAGGTCTGTTCTTGTGGTTGCTCACAATGCTGTTAATCAGGCTCTTGTTGCCACAGCAATTGGTACCTGTTTCTCCCTCTGAGGAAATTTTGGTAATGAAAATAAAATATCAAAATTTTATCAATTTGAATAACGTGCTCATCTTTTCTTCCATTCCTAACAATCAGGTTTGGGGGCAGAGTATTTCAGAACATTACTTCAGAGCAATTGTGGTGTTAGTGTGCTGGATTTCATCCCGAGACCTGAGGGTGGATCTCCACATATTTGCCTTAACCGCTTAAATCAGGTAAATAGTACATTCACTGGGCAAAATGCCACAGCGCCGAGCTGCCGACCAGCTGAGTTTAAATGTGGGATTGGCTGTTATTCCCATGACAGAGCTTCAAAGTAAAAGCTGATGTGAATGCAGATTATGTTATTCTCTCTATATAATCCAAAAATTGTTTTTCGATCACAATGTGCTCAACAGTGTAGGCTGTTCTTTAAACAGAGTTGAAATATTAATGCAGACCCCTGGTTCGCCTGTTGCTGGTGGGAAATCTGCAGGTAGAGAGACAAGTAGGCGATTTATACTTGTTTGTAGTGGATCAACACAAGGAAATACAGAGGTAAGAAGCAAACACTAAAATGTATTTGATCCAGATGTAACTTGTCAAAGGATCATCAGCTGAAGTTCTAAAATTGAGTTTTTATTTTTTCCATTTCTGTGAATGTTATAACTGATGTGATGAGGGATAACCTACCCTTTGTGAGCTATCTATTTTCTAATGCTGGCAGCGAAGTGCATTCCTACAAACCCCAAGCAATTATTTGAAAAATCAAGTAGTTTACCAAGTGTTATTATGACTCATTCTAGTATCCAATGCACCTTGCGACATTTAAAAAAAAAAACTAGAATAGGAAGTATAGTGGAAGGTGTTCAGAGAAATAAAGTTTATGAAAGTGTTTATTGTATGACTAAAATTGATGTTTACTCAAATATCTTTTTTTGATGTGGTTTGGGTGCTTTAACTTCTTTGCAATATTTCTATTTCTTCCCCATATTTTATCAAAATCTTTATTGCTATAAAATTTGCATTAGAATGGAAAGTGTCAAATTAAAAGTCATTTGTATGCTTTCACCCAAAAGCATAGCTTTTGGCATAGTTGGTTCACCATTCATGGTATGATATTATAGCTGACTATGTGGTTTAGAGTTGTGCATTCACCGAATAACTTAAGCTTTTGATTCCAAATGCATTTCTTCACATACCAGTTCTAAACAAACTACCTTATGTTAACAGGATGGTTTTCCTTTTGCTGGTGATCAACCATTGAACATGCTTGGTGTCATACAGGTACTACATCCAATCATCAGAAATAAGTGGGCAGAAGTTATTTCATCTGACCTTTTGCATGTATAACAGTCCCAGAAATCTGCAGAGCTACTTCTTGATTTGAAAGTGAATTCCATAGTTAGCAGTCCTAACAAAGCTTGTGTTGAGACAGCCGTGGCCATCTCCAAGGTAAGCTCACTTTTGGTATGTCATAGTTAGTTCCGTCATGCCAAGTTCCCAGTTCTATCATGTCAAATTCCTATTTCCTAGTGTAATCTATATATTGCAAGGATTTGCATCTACGTCTATATAGACTCTGGTTTTTACTTTTTATATATATACCTGTTGAATTGTAAGCCCGAACTGGAGAATTTGAGTTTTCTATTTCTATTCTATTCATTGTTGTTCTCCTCTAATTAAATTGTTTGATATGAATTTAGGTGCAAGAAGCTGCAGATTGCTTGGGTGCTGACTGTGTGCCTCGATATGTTGAGATGAAGCAGATGGGGAACCTTGATGTTGAAACTATCTTCAAACAAACCAACACGGCAAGTAATGTTTGGATGTGTTTGTATGTGGAAGTGTGCATCAATCATTTGTTGACTTAAATGGATACTAATTAAGTTTTTTCTGTATTAGAATGATCTTGATTCTTGACAAAGGAATGACCGTAAGAATTTGCTAAATAAAAATTGAAGATGTTGTTAAAAGAAGCTTGAAAGAATTGAAACGTAGAAGAAACTTATGACCATCTCAATATACTAAGAAGTATAGCTAAAGGTTTTTCCAAGTGCTTGGTACTTGGTGCAAATAGCTGCTTCTAATTTTGATATCCATTTTTCTAGCTTCCTGAATAACAAGGCTTGGTCAACAGTTTAAGTGTGCATTGTCTGTATGTTCTGTCTAATATATATTATTTATTTCAGGATATATCCAATTTTCCACCATTTCAACCTGGGTGGTTAAATAGAATTGATGATGGGTTGAGAACAAAATTATGGGATCAATCTGGGAAAGCCTGGCGATCGCTATTGGATGAAATATCTGACGAATCTAGGCCAGAAGAAGTTGTAGTTGCAGTTGGTCATCCTGCAATCCACATAGCACTAATGGGGCACTGCCTTAATTTGACAAAAGAATGGTTGGGATCATTTCATCTTGATGCAGGGAGCGTGAGTGTTGTTGACTTCCCTGATGGACCTAAGGGAAAAGGTGTCATCAGGTGCATAAATTACACTGCACATTTGGGGAGATGGTCCATACCTATTACTAGATCAACAGAGGATGGTGAAGAGTTTTAACTGTATAACTAGAGAGAAATTAAATTGAAATGACACCCCATCACCCAAGTGTGGAGTTTCAGAGGCTCAATGTTATCATGATTGTTGAAACTTTAAGGCATGATCATTGAATCTTATAAGGTCTTAGCCAGGGGGGTGACCTGGGATGTGACAGCACGGTTTTTCTTGCCTTCCTCGTAATGAAAGCTATATATATATACATGACTTGGTCTGATGTGTGCAGTTCATAGCACCAATCGCCCAAGATTACTTTGTCAGTGGTTTTGAATATTCTAATAGCAATTCTTGATATTGTTGCTATATACTGTTTGATGAATGATGATTGCTGGCTATGTTCAATGTTCCCGAATATCTCGAGATACAAAAAGAGAAGTTATTAGATAAGTCGAATGAAGTAGGTACTAGTTGAGGAGGCATTTAATATGTTATGGCTAAAACGTTGTTCTGTCTGGTACTTTTTATTCCTCTCTTTCTCTTTACAGATAATCAGTTAAAGAAATCAAGTTCTATATTCTTTTTTATACAATGAGTTCAGAAATATGAAGGAAAGAAAAAAAAAAAGTTCATTGTGATATTAACTAATTTAATTAAATACTTTTTAGTCCTTTGTTTACCTAACAGTGTAAAAAAAAATTAGAAGCTATTCCTAGATGCTTCATGTTTGATGTAAGTTCAATGGTATGTGACGCCCTATCAAACATGCAGTAAGAAAACAAGGATAGAATTAAAAAAAAAGTTTAATTTTATCAAATAACAGATAAAATAGATCACTCTAAAATGACATATAGTTTAGAACAGGAGAATAATATGGTTAGGCAATATTTAGCTATCACCCATTTCCCATTGTTAAGGGGAATAGTACTACCAAACAGTGGAAATTTGTTGTGCGTTTTAAATAATGTAGTTGAGGCATATTAATGTGCTATTCGTCTATTTCTCTAGCTGTATAAATTCATATATATTTTTAGAGCAAAATTTATCACTGGGTTAGACTTAGAGTTGCTATTAGATGGTGAATTTTATATTTAAGAGGATAGAATTTGTCAGCTAGAGATGATATACATACTGCACAAACACTGTTATTAGACATGAATATTCTTCATTGGATGTGACATTGCCTGTTCAATTTTAAATGGAAGCCCTAGAAATTCAGAACTATTTGATATGATTCGAAGTTTCAAGTATGGATTGGCCACTCCGCCAAGTTTACATTATTCAAATTCAATGATTGAATATATCATTTGATCCGTCCCATCACACGGAACTAGTTGTTGATTTTGCCGACACTGTCAGATATGAAATATAGATTATCTTTTATGCTCAAGGAAGGTTTTGAGGGAGGAAATGTACTGCGGAATTTTATGTGTCACATTCATCGATTAAATTTAATTCAAGTTTCTGTTACTCCGAAAATGAACTCTTAACCAAACTTCCAAAATCAACACAAAATCCCATCTAAAGAAGATTTTTTCTTCTTAATTTTCTTTGCTACAAAGATTCATTAATTGCTTTCTTTGGTGGAGATTGACGTAAGACTAGATTGCACATGCTTGCGTAGATGAGGTGTCATTTTAGTTTTCCTCATTACTAGTCATATACCATATAGAAATGGATAAAAAACATACCATATATATTTAACGAAACTCAAGAAAGTGAACAAAAGCCACCACTACATTGGATCTAGGCTAGGAAGACCTAAACTCAAAATAAAAAAAAAACAGGAAAATTTATTCTTGGTTCATTGACTTTGTACATTAATTCTACATAATAGATCAAATTTCTTTCTTCTACATGTTCCTCAGAATATTTCAACTAAAGAAAGTAATAGGGCCAAAAATATAGTTATTGGTTGGTTTAATTCAGCTTAATTGGTTTCTTGTAGTAATCACCAATTGCGAGTAACATAATAAGAATAAGAACAAAGTCAATTGTCTGCTATTCTAAACAAAGGAATTATATAAGCAAAGAAACATGTATTCGATTTAATTTAAAATTAAAACTAATTGTTCTGACCCCCTTTATTAGATTACAGCCAGCTGATTAGTTTTTCTAATTCTATTTTTCAAGTCTCTCTCAGAAATCATAGCTAGCACCCAAATCATGTCTGTAACATCCTTCAAACAAACGTATAACTGAAGAAAGTGCTCTACAGAACTTTTGTTTTATGTCATACACAGACATCATCGTATACTTCAAAATTTTCGATATATATCGTTCCAATAATTATTGCACGTTGGACAATTGTGTTTCTTATCTATATATTGTCATATCTCTTCATTAACTATAGTATCGAAAGTTAACGGTCTTACGTTTGTATTTTTTTAATTAAGGATTGAAACATAATATTATAACTGATGACACCATTTTATTCATACACGATGGAATGACTCGGTGGAATGCTTTCTAATTATTATAAAAAATAAAAGAAATAGTTTTAACAGTTGTTTGAGTTAAAAATTCACCTGTCATTGAATACTAGATTCATATTAAATGAATTGTACTCCCTAAAGTCCATGTGATTTAAGACATTAATCTATGAGTGTTCGGTACTTCAATAACCATACCCAATAGGATTATTGGACTATCCAATTGTATTATTGTACGATCCAGGAAACAGCTTTTTACTCTGATAGTTTTTACAAGACAGCTAGTTCAAGATATGTTCGGACACACATAACTTCAAACAGTTAAAATATTTGTCCATAAAACACGATTTAAAAATATTGACTTCGCTCCTCATATCTACTATATTTATGCATTATTCTAGTACCTCAACTGTATTGTCTCAAGGTGGAAGAGAACCTAATTCTAAATGTATATGTAACTGAATGTAATTGAATAAAAAAAAGATTAAGTAGGGTCACTAAATCAGTCATAGCTTTTACCAAAAATACAAAATCACGGTAAAACTTTTTCATGGCAATTACAAGTATAATTTTCCTTTTGGTGATCAATCAAAAGATTTTTTTATCAAGAAAGACTTTGTGTATATTTATAAATTCATGTCTTTTGTTCAAATAATGTGAGACTTTAATTGTTTTTCAACAATTAAAATAACAACATTGAAGTTCAAACCTAATATCCTGTATATAATATATTATCCCAACTTCTCAATTACTAGACTCACATTAGTGATTAATTATATTATAGTATTAATATTCCTTTTGAAGAAAAAAAAAGTATAACACGGTTTTGATTTTGAAGTTTGAAGTCCCACAGGAAGCTGATAAAAAAAAAGTGGGGGAAAAGGTGAAACACATGAGCTAGCTAGCTGGCCCAATTGATTTATTAATTCCCAATATTCCCGCGGATAGGTAACAGCTTCCTTCAAGTTTCATAAAAAACTTAAAGGATAAAGTCTAAGATCTATCAGCACCAAGTGTATTATTATGTGTTAAAAGAAAGTTCAAATTCAACTTTGCCAGAAATAAAAAAGAAAAATGATGTCCCCATGGTTGGAGAGAATTTCTTGGTATTACATAAGGCCAAGGCACATAATAATTTTCCTTTTCGGTTGGATTCCATTCTTCTACCCTTTTGAATTGTCACCCTCACGTTGCGTTTAGTTATATATCATCATGCACCCTTTGGAATCTCAGTGCAACTAATCTTTAGCATCAAAAGAGAAAGAAGAAAACAATGGGATCCAACTCGTTTTCTAAGGCACTACAATTAAATTTCTCTAGGGGGTCACATACATACTAATTATTGTTGTTTTACAATATGTCTGTGACACATGGATTATAATTGGTTAATCATAAGATTCATAACAGATGGGATTCATCAGTCCCTACCATGGATCTCTAGTCTCTATTAGACAATTACCAACTACTACTTTGAACTTTCCAAAAGTAAAGGCCTAATTAGATGGAATAGGATAAGTTAGCTATATATGTGGCCTACTAGTTAACTAAACAAAAAGTTTCAAAGAATTTCATGGTTCAAATGTAACGACTTTCATGTTCATGTTAGATGTGGGTTTGATGATACCATGTTAAAATGTGAGTTTGTGTCTAACTTAAGTTTACAAAATTAGTTTATAAGGCAAAGTTTGTTTCCTATTTATATATTCTTTGTTTGTTTTATTTTATTCAATGTAAAATTTGAATTTTTCTCTATTGTTTCTATGTCATAATGAAGACATATATATTAGTCTGAAATATAATGCTTCTATTATTTAATTTATGGATTTGCATTTTATAGTGCAATTTGTAACTAGCTAAGAATTTGTTGAGAGAAACACGTAGTTTGTGAGGAATTTGGTTATTCTACTTTAATAGGGAAAAGTTAAAAATGTAGATGAAAAGAAAAAAAGAAAAGTTAACATGCATGCCTTCTTTATAAACCAGGAAACTCACAAGAAGCATGCGTTCTCATTCACTTTTTATAGTTTCTCTTTCTCCCCCCTTAAATATCAACTAAAATTCTTGTACATATGAGCTCCAACCACAAAATTCAGTTCCAAGATGCACAAATAGTTGCAATTGTAGTTGATAAATAGTTAAAACCCTTAAGGGATTACATTTCTAGTTGTATGACTTGTTTAACTTCAAATGACTTTTATTATATCAATATATTCCCCCTCTTGTTAACAGTTGTAATTAAACTTTACAGAGTGATTTGTAGATGCAGTTACATATAAAGAATCCTTACGTTTATTATAAGCAAGGTTGAATGTTTGATTCATGATGAGGAAGGGTAGAACATGCCCCAGCAGAACCAGAGGTTATGGGGTCCATGCCCCAAACAATATGCCCTCACACTTGTACCTCAACCAGAGAAAGTAATGATGCCCTTTATGCGCTGTTTCATGTTGTTTGTGACAGATTCCACTATTCCCTATTCTTTCTTTCTCATCTGTTTTACCTCTTTTACATATATACACTTGGACATTGTGGTAAGATTGAAAGATATAATCATGTTCTTTAACCATATGGTTAGTGATTCGACCTCCAAATTCATATGTATAAAAGAAAATTGGGTGCAAAATTTCTTAAATGAATTTTAATATATAAAAGAGTTCCTCTTTAAACATGGTGGTTAAGAATCTGATTTCAAGTTCATGTGTATGAAAAAATATATTTTAAAAGATGTCAGATTCATAAATGAATCATAGTATTTTAAGAAATTAGTCCTAGACTCTCTTACACAAGAAATCTCTTGTATATAATCTAATCATAGGAAAATTAAGTCACTTAAGTCATTCTAGCAAATCAAACTTCAAAGTCTGTGTTATGTGTAAAGTTGTGACCCCCCATCTTTTACTCTCTCTAGAACGCTACATTACTTCACAAATCCATAATGTATGTTTGGTTGGAGAAAACTACCAAAAACGGGAAGATTGAGGGGATAAAAATTGGATCAGTTATATATGCTTTAATAATTCATGTGCTGGTGTTCATTCAAATGCTTTTCTTTCCCAACTGCAACCACATGATATTCTGTATTATATCATGTACTAACAAGTAATTAAAATAGTCACACTCCTTTAATTTTTCTGAATTTTATTACTTACAAAGTCAACAACATGTAAGGAAAATCAGAAAGTCATGTCTATAGGTATAGCTCGTTTATGCCTTCTTTTGTGGGTTGCCCCATCTTGCTAATAAATTAAATATTAGTCATAAATGAGTTTGGGTTGGGGTGAATTTAGAAGCCAAATTTATTTTGTGGGTCCAACATTCACTATCGCATATTCATGATCATGGCTACCCCCACTCCTCTGTTCTTATCAAGAAAGAGGTGTTTAGTATTTTTGGCACAAGAAAGAAAGAAAGAGAAATGGCATGTTTACACTTACATATTTTTGCTTCAATGGTCCCCTAAGAAAACTCCCTATTTAACAAGGTAGCATTTGCAACAAAAGAAAAATGACAAACTAAAAAAACACACAAATTTCCACCAATTCAAAGGTTTAAAAAAATTCGAACTTCAACCCTTAATCAAATGTTGAATCACTTAAATTAACGAATTTAGTTAAGTTTAATTAATTTTAATTTAATATCAATATTTTAATTATTAATACATGATATCAAATTATAAAATATATGGGATTTTAAATAAAAAAGGTTTTAATATTATTATGATCTTATCCAATTCTAATTTAAATTTGATTTTAATTTTTGAAAATAATTTTAGATTATTAATTATAGAGGAGAAATGTATTAATTAAAATAATTTATTTTATATTTTTCAAAAGTTGTCATTTATTTTTACAATAACAGAATATAAAAAAATCTATTAAAAACTCATTAACTTAATATTAATAATATAATATCAATGTTTTTTTAATGAAAATATTAATTGACTTATTTACTTTGATGCTTTAAAGTTTAAACAATACTGAGTAAATAATAAAATACAAAACAAAATTCCACAAAAAGTTGGCTCAAAATGAAAGTGAGACTGTGACAGGAAGGGTTTGAAGCGAAGTGAATGAGACGATTCGTTCAGAATTCCGACACGACTCAAAAATTTTGGCATTAGGAATAATAAATGGAATTAACAAACCACTCAACCTAAACTTTTTCGTATAATAATTGCCAAAGGAAACTTCTCAAATATTTATAAAATCAAACATGATATATGAAATAACTTTTTTCTTAAAAAAAAAGTTATCATGAAAAAATAAAATATAAAAAGTGAACCAATTGAAGTATTAAAAATGTAAATAATATTAAAAATGATTTATAAAATTTATAAAATAATAGTAAATATATTAAGATAAAGTATACAAAAGCCTTAAAGGGGATTCCTCTTTTTATTTTTATTTTGAGTTTATTCTTTCCCACTTATGTATGTTTGGATTTTGCTCATAACATTTTCTCCTTAATTTCTGTTATTAATAATCATCAAACCCAAGGTATGAATAAAAAAATGATCGTGTTACAACTGGTGCTGAAATACAGGATCAACTTTTTTGCTTCCCCTTTTCTTTTCTTTTCATTTTTTTTTAAATTGCAGTATTAACTGGCAACTCATATTTAAAAACCACACCACCCAGGTTTCTGCCTCTATCTTTTCCCTCTCATACCAAAAACATTATTACAATGGATTATTATATTCATACATCTACTTTTTTTAAAAAAATACATATATCATAGAGAGATACATGTGAGAGAGAAAAAAATACTCAATCAATATCATGTTATTAATACAATAGTAAACTGAGCTTAATCTATTTAGGTCAGGATTCAAATTCAAGTTTTATAAATAGAAATCACAATAAAGAGAAAAGATGAATTAAGAATTGTTAATTAGTTTTTTTTTGTTTTTTTTATCAATGATTGTATATGAATATTTCTTATCAATAAAATAATGAAAAAAATACGACAATTTATATCTCCCTCTATCATAATATGTGTAATAAATGATGTGATAAAAGAGATAAATATAAAAAATGTTCTTTTATAATTTGTTATACAAATATCATTTCATAAACTTCAATCAAATAAAATCATTAGATAAAACTCTCCCTTTAAACTATATAAAATTAATAACTTATAACATTTACTCAACATAGTCTATGCAAAAGATGTTATTCCTTTACGTGACCATGCCTACGAAGAAAAACAAAACTTTTATTATCTCTTTGCTTACCAAAAATTAATATCTTGGAAGACTTTGTTCAATCATTTATTACACTATTTATTATATTTTTTTTTTCATTAGTGGGAAATCTAAGGAAGAAAAAACAAATAACTAATTACTATTTTAAGAAAAATATTCGACATAAATAAATAAAAGAGTTTGTTTAGATATAAATTTAGATGTAATTTTAAAAAAAATTATTTATTTTTAGTAGAAAAATTCAAAAAAAAAAAAAAAGAAGAAGAGATTTTTAATTTGTATCTAATTATGTTGGAAGTAAATAAAGAAAGCAAACAAGTAGAAGTATATGAAGTAATGAAGCAACTTGCATGATTGAACGTTTCTTCCTCTCTTTCTTCCTTTATAGTACGTAACACAAACACTTTCCCATTTCTGCTATAAAATAAGAGAGAGAGAGAGATTGTGATGTTAAATAGCAACTCTTCTTCCTCCGAGTTTCCTCCTTTTGAGAGAGAGAGAGAGAGAAGATGCAAGCATAAGAATCGAAAGCCAAAAGCAACCCTTAACTCACAATTTCTCCAAGTGCCAAAAAAATGAGAGACATAGTCTCATGTTTGAGCGACAACGCAGTGAACGTGTCTCACTACTCTTCAACAATCTCATGCTCCACAATCTCACCCTCCATCCAAAACTCAACCTCCACCATCTACACCCTCAAACAAATCACCATCACAGTCACATGGTGTAACCAAGGCCTCACCATAACCTTCAACCACCAAGACCCTCCACACTTCAGACTCAACACCACCTCACGCTTCTTCCGAAAGAAAAAAGGCTCCAAAACCCTCCAACTACACTCCTCCAACCTAGAAATCCTATGGGACCTCTCAAACGCCAAGTACCAAACCGGTCCAGAACCGCTTCAAGCCTTTTACCTCGTCATCATCGTAGACTCCGAACTAGCCTTGGTTCTCGGTGACACCGCGCAGGAAACACTTTCCAAGAGGTTCGCTTTCAAAACCAACCCTCTTGCCAGAATGGTTTCCAAACGAGAGCATTGTTCCGGCAACACGCTTTACACCACCAAGGCTCGCTTTTGCGACACCGGCACGTGCCACGATGTTCTCATCAGGTGCAGCCTCGAGAAGGACAACGATGGAGGCTTCTTCAAGTCCCCGGTTTTGAGCGTCTGCATTGATAAGAAGACTGTGACACGTGTGAAGAGGCTGCAGTGGAACTTTCGGGGGAACCAGACCATTTTCGTTGATGGGTTATTGGTGGATTTGATGTGGGACGTTCATGATTGGTTCTTCAACAACCCTTGTGGTGGAGGGTATGCTGTGTTCATGTTCAGGACTAGGAGTGGCATGGATAGTAGGTTGTGGTTGGAGGATAAGGGTGTGCAGAAAGATAAAGAGAGAGTTGAATTCTCCTTGTTGATCTATGCCTGTAAGACTTCATAAGGGAACCACACTTCCTTCTTCTGCTTCTTTTCTCTTAACCTCATGCTTTTACTCTTCTTTTCTTGAAAGGAGCTATACTCATTCTTTTTTTAAAGACAAAGTCAATAATTTAGACTAATTTTACTTGTACAACAAAATTCAGCTATTTTTCTGCATTTTTTTTTCCTTCTGAGTTTAGTTTAGTTCACATGCCTTGTCTGCTTTGTCAACAAGACATAACTGTCGGGAAATAACATTTTTTTTTTTGTATGTACAAGGTTTAAATCTAAAATTTCATGAAAACTATTCAAATTCATGTTGTTTATGTCGATTTATTTGGAAAGCAATATGTGTTTGATATCTCCACCGCGTGTGAAGAAATAAGAAAACCCTTCAAGGCCAGTCACAAGTCACAGCACGACAAACATTAATATATGGTCTAATGAATTAAGAAAGGTTGATTAATAAGTTGATTCCTGGTATTAAAGTTGATTTATTTGGGTGAAAATAGGGTGTTAATTTGATTTTTAATGTGTTAAAACTCTTTGACATAACACCATAAATATGATTAGTAGATGGTATGATGAATTGGGATAAGTTAATCATCACAGAAATTGTTGTCTTTAATGCGACTTCATAGTTATTACAGCTTTGGAATGTGTGGAACCGGTTATTTTGAATGTTACTAGAAGTGTAGAATGTAGAATTTCTAGTGTCCAACTCGTTTACTAGTTTTGAAAGAAAAAGAGCGTGACCGAAACGGGCTTTTGGGGTTTGTGAGATAAACACCAACGAAAACTAGCTGAAAGGGTAGTGGATGAGTTTGATTGGCATGGTTGAATTGCCAAGCCTTTATGGGAAAGAATATTAATGAACGATATCTTATTCTTGACCGCGTCTTTACGATTTTGTTCATAAATGTCGTCTTGCGTTGAAAGATAAAAACGTTTTTTTGATGATAACCGTCCAACTAATCAATGAGGGCACACGACAATGTACGAGTATGATGATGTGACGATGTGGTTGTGATAGGAGTTTAGTTTAAAACTTAAAGTGTAATTGAAGGGTGGAAGAATTTACAGAGCATTTAAGGATGGATAACTTAGAGGGAAAATAAGGTTTGGTCGGGTCACTTTCACACGAAAATGATTCAAAGGGAAGCTCCAACATTTTAAATATTGGGCTTGTCTTTACTTGGCGTGGTGGAACCTTTGATTATGGGAGAATATGATGGTCTATTCCTCTGTCCTGAGATGCCATGGCATGTGTTTATGACTCTATTGTCCCTCCAAAACTCGAGTTCACTTTCATCATCACCACCTACTTTGTGGATGCATGCGTTTTCAAAACATATGCAAATCTTCATTTCACATACCAAGTAGGTATGAATTTTTCTTTTTTGGGTAGACTTGATTTGGATGAAATCAATTTTAGATGGCAATTTGATTTTATTTATAAATTTTTTATTGAAATGTTTTCATGATCTTTCGATTATAAATTTTTTGTATTGTCATCCTAGATATTTGATTATAATTTTTATCAATATTTTGAATCTTATTCTTTAAGTATGTTTGTTTTAACGTTGATGATTTGTTTCACAATATATTTTTGCATCAATTATTTTCAAAACGTGAATGTTTAAATTACTTGCTTCCAATTTGACATGAAAAATCATATCACCACCACATAAACAAACATGATATAAGTAGGGGGTGTGCAAAAAATCCAAATTGATCTGAACCGATTCATAACCGATCCGATCCATATTAAAAAAAATCTTTTTTTAAAGAAAATCCGAACCGATCCACTTTATAAAACCCAGTTCAATTATCCAATTCATTTTTACAAAGTGGATCGGTTCGGTTCGGTTTGATTTTTTAAAAAAACTTATCTATATATATGAGTAAAAAATGAATAAACGTACCGCACCGAACCGATCCAATTTTAAAAAACTGATCCATTTTTTAAAAAAATCAAACCGATCCACTTTATAAAAAACGGATTGATTAACTAATCCACTCTTATAAAATAAATCGGTTCGGTTCGGTTTGGTTTGAATTTTTAAAAAAACCGATCGATAAACACCCTTATATTTAGATATAAGTGTATATTTGGTAAGACATTACTTATTTTCATATGTGAATCAACAAAAGTAATCTAGGCTTGCTTATGCGTTTTTTACTTCTTTTTTGATGCAAAATTAAGGAACAACATGGATTTGAGACGCAACACGCACTAAATATGTTATGAAAGAAAAGTATTCTAATAGATTTACACAGTTTTGTTGTTTAAAAAACGCATCTTTTTTTATGCATAAGGAAATATTTATAACTCATTATTTACCTCAATTTCTAAACAATACAACACTTTTATAGTAGGATGCAACATGGCAAACGAAAAAATTGTTCCGGAAAAATTGTGAAATTCTTTTTTTGTGTTATATTATTTATACAGTTTTTATAGTATATATTTTACAATATTAATTTTTCTGTTTTTTTTTTTCAATTACATCAGTAATCTTATTTTACACTTTTATACTAGTACCTTTTATTTCTATCTATCTATCTTTTTTTATATATATAAATTTTTGTATAAAACATTATGAAAAAAAAAAAAAGCTTCTGCTTTGTAGCTATAATCTGCAGCTCTGTTTAACTCATGAGGTTCTGTACTGAAACATAGGCCAAGTACCTTTTATGCTACTATTCTGCTTTTTCCTTTCTCCTTCATTCAAAATAAAGTGCAAAGATGTCTTCTGTATTACTATTTACTAACAGTCTTATCTTTCAAATTTATTTCTCATTTTCTTTTTGACCCACTATATATACTGCAAAGATGTCTTCAATATTGATTATTTTACTACAAGTCTTCGTTGGATCAGATTATTATGACAAACATCACAATCCAAATCAAAGTTGATTAATTTGAATATTCAATTTATATATTTAAAATCTAAATAATTAAATTAATTAATTTATACATTTATTTTTATTTAGTTATCGATTAACATTTATGTATCATTTTAATTTTATAATATATAGATTTTTTCCATTCCTATTCTAAAATACTTAAAAGAAACTAAAAAAAATATTATAATATATTGAGTGTCATTTTTATATATCATAATATATTTGAAATGTTTAAGTAAATTAAAAAAAATCAAGAAAAATTATATTACAAACAAATCAATTTAATTAAATTTTGATAATATATCAATTTAGTTAATATTAAAAATTTTATTTATTTTAAAAAATTATTAAATATCTTATGACTCAAATCAAACCAACTTAATCAATATCTAATTAATTCAGTTCAGATTAACAAAAAAACTTAAAATGAAACCTATACCAATCCAAATCACTTAAATTTAATAGGATCAAATTAAATTTTCATCATAAGTCAAAGTAACCCTACTTATGACTCAGTTGATTTTGTATGTTGGGCGCTGTTTGGTGGATGTTACTTTCAATTAATTGTCAAAATTCTTGGCACATGATCTTTAAGAAGTCTGTGTACGTTAATTAAAAGCTTTGATTCATTATTTGCGTTCCATAGATGAAGTGAATGAATCCTACAAATTATGGATTTTGTAATGCTATTTTTCAAATGTTGAAATTTAGCGACTCCACTAGCCTTAGAAAATTCTATATTAGGTTGGTTATCACCTTTGAAATTGAAAGAGATGGGCATTACAGTGAAACCACGTTATGACTTTTGAGAAGCACATCAATGCTGATTTACAATTAATGCTAACATACCAATCTCTGTTACTTGCTCTGCTTTTGTGCACATTTTCTCCTTATAGCAAGTGGTTCTCTAGTAGTAGTTGAAAATGAGAGATTTGAATTTTTTTTGTTTTAGTTTTTTTTTTTAAATCACATATTTTTTATAACATAAAAAAATCAAAATTTTCCTTGGGTTGACAACTGAAGTGTCTCAACACCAAGTAGCAACAATGTGGTATTGTGTAATTGTAGCTAAAAACATTGATGGCTTATGAATTGTTCCAAATGTTGTCTGGTAAAGAGATTCCCCATCTAAAATCCTAGAAAATTCATCTAGACATGATAGACGTGAGAACAACCATCATAAGAATTTTCGTGGGATTGGGCCAGACATAGCCATTTGAATTTTTTTGAAAACACCATTATTTCACAAAACTATACACACATTGTTTCTGTGATTTATAAAAGAAAATGTCATTTTATATCAAGTGTTTTTTTAGGTTGTTACATATAATAGATAAAAAAATAAAAATAAAAACATCGCTTATAAGAAAAAGAACTCATGCCAAATTCATAATTTAAGACTTTTCAAAGTTAAAAATGAGAACATGGTGAGTGCACTTAGAGATAGATACATGTATGTTACAAATTGTCATGCACCTACTCTTTTTTAACTACATCATCCTTTATGTTCATACATTATATATACATGCCCCACCATTTTTGTTTTTAATGATTATCCCTTCACAATTACAATCAAATGACCTTAAAAGGCAAACATGACTTAACCGTTCATCCTGAAACGCAGCTTTTTCCTGCGTTTGCCCAGCTTCAGCTTCTCTTTTGCTTAACACGTCTTGCTGTTGCCACACCAGCTGTATTGCATATTTATCCACTTAGATAAATATTACCAAAACACTTTTTTTTAAGATACCATTTATTATACGAGAAGATAGCTATAGTACCTTTATTTAATTATATATTAGACAAAATATCTAATTTGGTCCCTTATAATAATTAATAATTTCAGTTTCATCTTTTTATAATTTTTTGTAATTTAAAAAATGTCAATGTAGAGTTTTTTGTCCAAATTTTTACAAATGGTGTCAAATGTAGATGACGTGGATGCCACGTAGATACATACGTGACAAGTTTCCATAGTCCTTCTTTAATGAACCTGGAACGGCCTGTTCTAAAACTTGAACGAGCCGTTCTGATCCCACTCGTTGTGTGTTAATTTTGTAACTGAAACAGCCCGTTCCAGATGCAAATGTAACACACAACGAGTGAAGCAGAACAGCCCGTTTTGGTTTAAGAACGGGTCGTTGTGGTTTAAGAACAGACCGTTAATTTAAGTGTTACATTTCAACAAAATGTTCAACAAAATGTAGCAATGTGGTTCACAGATTGAAAACAAAAATTCATAACATAATATAAATTCAAATATTAAAATATGCACCAGAGTTGATCTTTTCATCCTTATTTTTCATCATTGCCCATATAAATAATAAATCAATTAGGCGTAGTTTACCGTCTGAGTCCCCATGACCTAGAACAGTAGATGCAATAAACTTATGCATAATTTTAATGACAACATGACGAATGTAGATGAATTGCATTAACCAGCCTCCCATTGTGTATTACCTGTTACAACCCCCTAAAACATGTATGAATTAAATAATCTTGGATTTTTTTCCCTTATGGTTTGAAATCCAAAGATACCATTAAATTCTTCCAAATTGAGACGATATTCTATATTAAAAACTTTAAAGAAAATCAATCCTGATTCACAATTTTCCCCGGTTAAAATTTTAATATGGAGAGAATTAAGATATTCAAGAACAATCCTTGGATCTGGAACGGCCCGTTCCGCTTGCATTCTTTGTATGTTTTTTTTGAATCTGGAACGACTCATTCCAAATGCAAAATTAATACACAAGGAATGCAAGCGGAACGGGCCGTTCTGATTTCAGAACGGGCCGTTCCAGATCATTAAAGAAGGGGGAGAGGAGGCATGCATGCCACCTATGCATCTACGTGACATCCACATCATCACCTTTAACGCCGTTGGTGAAATTTGGACGGAAAGTCCCACATTGACATTTTTTAAATTATTCAGGACTAAATTGAAATAAAAAATTATTGAGGGACAAATTTGAAACTATTAATTATTATAAGAGACCAAATTAGGTATTTTACCTATATATTATGTTATGATTCGTCTTTGGTTTTTATAATAATTAAACATAAAAAAGTCATATTGAAGATAATATTTAACTAATTAATAGTATAAATTAAAATTTATTTAAAAAGTTGAGTACAATTTATTAAAAATTATAAATTTTAAAGGGTCTTATTTTTTATTTAATGATTTTTTTTCTATAATTTACTTGTTTAATTTTAATAATAAAAGTGTTGATTTTTAAAATAAAAAAAAAATGTGCGTTATTTTGGTTTCCCATCCAGCTAATATTATCGGTTGCATTTATAGCAGTTTGTTGTGGCAGCCTGGAAAACTAACTACGATGGGAAACCAACCAAGCACTAGGTATAGGAGTGATTCTTTTCACTTTTTTTTTTCTTCACTTCACACTGTTTCTTCTTTTCGAAAAATAGCTTCCAAAATAGTTTTTTAATTGGAAAATGAATTTTTGATATATTATAAAAAAATAAGAAGTGTGAAGGAAAAAAAAAAAGATATAAATAGAATTGAGCATAAAGGAGTAGTAGGGGATGGGGATGGAAGTTTGATTTGAGTCCAATAGCAGTTGTGACACGCAAAAAAGCCCATTCCATTTGAAGGGATATTTAATGTGTTGTTTGTGGGCCAAGTTTGATACCATTAATTGATTTTCTAGTGGGCACACGCCATTCATTATAGCTTCATCACTCATCAGTATACATATTTATTTTTTCCAGTTCTTCTAAGCTCAGGTCACCTGTGATGTGAGCATGGCCAAATTCGTCTCACTAATCTGACCCCATTTGAGATGCATTTAGATTTTGAAATACATAAGTTTGAAGTTTTTTTTTTTTCTTAAATAGAAAAGTTCTCAAAAATACTTTTAATTTATAATTTTTGAAAAAATTAATATGAGAGAATTTTTACAAATTAACTAAGGAAACTTACTTTATTTTTTTTTTCACATATTTTTGGAGAAATTTATGAGAGATTACTCTTCTCATCATTTGTAGAATAAAAATGTGAGTCCGATTATATTTGCTAATGACTTTTATTTTTGGCCAAACAACTAACTTTAGAATTGAACTATTAAAATTTTATTTTATTTATTTTTGGCTAACACGGATCTTTTTGAAAGTGGAACCAGCCAGTCATAGGAAGAAATGCGAATATAATAAATTGACAGTTACTGGCATGCTATGCTATCATGCTCCAAAAGAAAACAAAAACTGCGAGACACGAGTACAAATAATTGAGAGAGAAAGAACACAATAATTTAGTCACTTCTTTCATGTTACCGAATTGAGTCATGTCTTGTTTCACTTTCATGGGAAAGTATATATCACGCTAAATTTATGTTTTATTTTTTATCTCCTCAATTTTTTTTATCCTTGTTTCGTGCTTCTATTGCTTATCACTTTAATATCTGTTGAGATTCAAACAAGTCTCACATCGATAAAATAATACAACAAATAACAACTTATATAATACAAATATACTTCAATGATCGAGAGGTCTTTTGGGTGATGACCAAAAGCAAAATCGTGAGAGCTAAGGCCCAAAGCGGACAATATCTTATCATTGTGGAGTATGTTTGTGTAATAACCTTATAAAAATAACTCATAAAATATCCTCTCAGACAAATATCATAAAATAACTTCGTTGACAACCAATAACATATAACCCCTCATAACTCATAACATATAATGTGCTATATAAAGACAGATTCGCTGCATGAAAGGTTAGACCCCTCATAACTCATAACATATAATGTGCTATATAAATACAGATTCCGCTGCATGAAAGGTTAGGTCCCGGATTCATTGACAACCAATAACATATAACCCCTCATAACTCATAACATATAATGTGCTATATAAATACAGATTCCGCTGCATGAAAGGTTAGGTCCCTTGTTTGAGAGGAGGATTGTTGGGATACAAACAAGTCTCACATCGATAAAATATGGCCGCAGGTTGGATTCGTTGACAACCAATAACATATAACCCCTCATAACTCATAACATATAATGTGTTATATAAAGACAGATTCCGCTGTATGAAAGGTTAGGTTCCGGATTCATTGACAACCAATAACATATAACCCCTCATAACTCATAACATATAATGTGCTATATAAAGATAGATTCCGCTGCATGAAAGGTTAGGTCCCTTGTTTGAGAGGAGGATTGTTGGGATACAAACAAGTCTCACATCGATAAAATATGACAAATAATAATAACTTATATAATACAAACATACTTCAATGATTGAAAGGCCTTTTGGGTGATGACCAAAAGCAAAACCGTGAGGGCTAAGGCCCAAAGCGGACAATATCTCATTATTATGGAGTATGTTTGTAATAAAATTATAAAATAACTCATAAAATATCCTCTCAGACAAATACCATAAATAACCCCCATCAATATCAACCCTGCTTCACACTGTTCTGTTTCATTATTCAAGTTGGTAGTTTTAAGTGATTAATTTTGATTACTCTCATTATTTTCTTGCTTACATTTTTACAAGATGACTATGTGTGAAATGATTATATTCATGGTCATCCACTGTTGTGTTTTTTTCTTTTTTGTCCTTTTTTATGTTCTAGTTTCTGAAACATTCAGATTGCTATATCATTGTTTCTCCTGTAACTAAAATCAACTTACCTGATGTTTTACACAAATCCTTGCTCAGATCAGATTTCAATGTCAAACAGCAGTTTTATAAGTTTTCAACCATGATTGGGGCATTAACGTTTTCTTGTGCAAGATAACTTGTTCCCTAAGATAGCTGCATTCTCTAGTGTGATAAACATATTCATTCACGTATTTCAGACATTTACATAATAATTAAGCAACTTGCATTCACACATTATAGAATTGATTTATTTAGTATTGAACCTTGTGTTCAATCTCTGTTGTGTGCGAAAATCTTTCTAATTAGTGTCAATTATTGTATCACGAGCGGATCAGTCTCTAGCTCAATAGACTAGGAATATTCGTGACAAGACAAAAAAAAAAATGTATTCCAAACATGTAAATTTTGGCTTCACTGCTCTAAGGAGGCAGTGACAGAAACTTAACGATCATTTCAGCTTCCAATCCTAATCAAGTTTCAATCTAAGCATACTTAGATATCCGTTAGATAGATGGTTCATGTTCAATACTCTTGTTACCATCCATCTTGGGCAGGACTAACCAGTATCAATCACTGTTTTGTGCCAGTAACAATTAATACGAGATTCGAAGATTATACACCTTAGATTCATATAGCAAATGACATATGTATAACCATCAAGTACTCTTACGTAACAATCAAACTCTTAGCTAAGCTTTCTTAGAGATGCATCAAGAAGGCTACTGTAACAGAACCAATGAAAGAGAGCACAGAGAAAAAAACACTAGCAGTAGATTTTATCCCACCCTTGGAGATGACCTTGTCTTCTGCAAAATTGTAGTCACTGAGTCAGAGTAATCAAATAGTTTCCTCATAACCCAAAACAAATGGAAAGCATAATAATAATAAAAAGGATAAAACTCATATACAGATCAATAAATAATGTTGATTTTATCCTCCCATCAGAAAATTATGTTGACTTTTTAATACAATCTTTTATTACACGAATTATAAGATAAAACTTCAATTCTTATTAGAAAAATAATACAAGAACACCTATAAAATTGCATCAAAGTTTTGTTTAATAAAAATCTATGTACATATCAAAGATCAAGGTACTTACTGCACTCTTTAGGGTGGCATAAACAATTCAAACCAGCACCACAGTTTCCATTAGGCTTTTCACACCCTTGACAAATTTCTGGCACACGGGGAATGTCAACAGATATCCTTGTTCCCACCTTATATCCTTGATCATGTCCACCATCTGAAGCACTTCTATGTACCCAACTATAATGAGAGCAGTTCATCTGTTCAGGGTGAAAATCCTTATTCACTTTTTGAAGATCTTCAACAACTAAACAAGGATGTTTCATGTTCTCTTCAGCACCTCCACATTTGTATAAGGCCCTACAATTTTGCATAATTGGTAAAAAGGGGTCTCTTCTGCTTGAGCAGTTGAAGAGCACAAGTGAGTTAGGCTCAGGAGGAGAAGGGAAACCAGATGTGACAGCAAGAGGAGAAACATATTGGAGAGAAGAACAAGAAGAGTGAGTGATGGTTAGTGTTAGTAATCCACCATTATAGTCAAGTGATGAAACGTGGAAAAGACCAAGGGATGTTCTCAAGTAGAGATTCTGAGATATGCAAAGGGTGATGCTTTCTAGTATTGAAGAATTGGAGTTCAAGAAAGGTGTTTGAGTTTTGATGTTCCCACAGATGTTTGCATGATCATGTTGGGGTGTAGAATAAACTAATATGATATTGAATAAGAGTAAAGAATGAAGAAGATGGAGTTTCTTGAATGGATTCATGTTCATCCCTTTTTCCCAATCGATGCAAAGGATGTTGTTTGCTATGTTATTTTAATATATTTTGTAGGTTTCTTCTTTCAGGATCATTCTTGATAGAAAAAGCAGCGTTAAGAACTCGAGAAAACACTAGTTCCAAATCATTTTCCAAGTTGGCCAATGTTGGATTCGTGACTTTCTTTTTCTTGTCACTAGAAAAAGGTTACATTGCTTTAAGGAATCTTAAGCTTCAAATTTCAAAACTTTTTTTGGGTCAATTTGCTGCTTTAATTTTTCGCCTTTTTTTTTTATTCTTTTAATGATTTGTTAGTAATAGACTAATAGTGGTAAGTTATCTTTATATTTCACTTAATGCTATTTTATTTTATTCCTCTAACAAGTCCAAGAAATTGATTTTTCGTTTTTGGTTCTTTCTTTTCTTTTCTATTAAAAAATTGTTGTTTTTTTGCAACTACCGGTTGAAAACAAGGATATTCTAGTTTTTAGGATGAACCATTGACCCCTATTAAAAGTGTTCTATATTTTTCAACAACAAAAAAAAACTTGTTGAAACATTTAAACTATGTTTCATTATTTTATTTTATTTTATTAATGTTCTAATACTGTGTAGAAAATAGAGGTCGGAATTCATACGTACACAAGAATTGCTGACAAAAAAATGTATTGGTCACATTGCATTCAAGACGGAACATTTCTAAAAAAGGAAAGCGATTTAAACTTGATGTAATTTGTCTAAAGGATTTTACATGTTAATGCTTCTTTACAAAGTGCAAACTAGATAAATTGTTTAACTTGAACTGTTTATCTACTATAATTCTAGTTTTATTTAATGGGATATATTTATAACATCTTGCTAATTTTTCATTATTGGAAAATTTTAATTTTATTGCAAAAGATTTAATAATGTGCATTTTACCATTGTAGCTTGTATGGATTCTTCTTTTATGATTAGCATCTTGCATACTTTTGTCTAATTGTATATTTATTTATACCCTCATTGCACTACAGTGACTTACTTTGAACGTATCATTTTATCAAATTTGACTTATTGATATTGCAGGAAGCATATGGATATGCTTAGAAAAATAGTTTATTTTACATGTTAACCTCTTTCTGTTTCAACGCATTAATCATTGTTAATCATAAACAAAGGAAACCATTGAGATAATTGTTTGCTCACAAATTTGTGTGAATATAAGAATATGAAATGTTTTCTGTCACATATACGTGAATGCAATATAGAAAAATAACAATAACAAGAAATCAAAAATAAAATCAGAAATAAAGTCAAAATACTTCAATGTTTTTTTTAAAATAATGCAGAACAATTTTGACAAGTACTTGGGTAACCATTTCAAGATTGGAATACCCCTATTTTTATAACTCATTGTTGTAGAAAGTTGAAATTCTCTTAAACGAAAATCAAAGGATAAAAGGTAATGAAAGAACTAATTTATTGGGCTTTTAAAAATTCGAGTATTGAAATAAAACAATATTAAATCCAATATGAAGATAACTTAATAATGTTATTACAAACTTAAATAAAACTTAGAAAAAGGACTAATTTGTTGAATATGTAAAAGTTAAAACAATGAAATGAAATAAATAAAAGTTAAAAAAAAAAATTACTTTTCTTTACACTAGCTTGCCATCGCTTTATTAGACCATCCTTCAAAAAAAAAAATAGTACTGTTAAATATATTTTCCAATTGGTCATGGGTTTTGCATGGTTCAATGTCTTTCACCATTGATAATCATTTCCTACCCTACTAAAGTTACTTTGGTGTTTAGGCTTTTTTAGGCAAGGCAAACAATGTTGTTCTCCAACAGTTAAATGAAGGCTTTGAGTACCCCATCTCTTTATTGTAAAGATTGAATTGTTCACTGCATCAATCAAAAAACCAAAATTTGGAAAATGCATTTGTTCAAAGTGAGCAATGATCAAGGATACGTTATGATACAAATTTATATATTATGAAATTATAATTTCATATAATAAAATTTGATAAAGTTACATAAAATATAAAACTACTTACATTTCAGAACATAAACATAAGATATAAATAAAGTAAAATATATTTAGATGGTTACAAAAGATTTTATAGTAAAATAAACTATCAAACTTAAATCGATCATATGCAGCATGCTTTAAATTGCATAACTACCGTATTAGTTGGATTACTTTCTCAACTCACTGTTAGTCAGTTACCACCCATGTATTAGAGATATTCTACTCACAGAATATAGGTTGAAAGTAAAGATAAAAGAATATAATTAAGTAAGATGACAAAAATGGGAAGTAGGTAAAAACTGAAAAAGAAAAAGAAAACAGAAAAGAGGAGAAAAAAAAAAGTTCCCACCATGACTAAAAAGTAAAAGGGAAATGTTGAGTGTAAATTTGATAAAGGAGTGGAAGAGAGAAACATATTCTATGACCCCAAAAAAGAGAGAGAGAAATAAAAGAGAAAGAAAATGACCGATAAATTACCTTTTTATTTATGGAAAAAAAATCATAATTACTTTGTAATATTATAATATTAACATATTTACTCAATCAAGTTGGAAAGTTCTTAAGTTTGAGTTATGTGTTAATCAAATTTTTCAATAGAAATTAGTCATGAATGATATTTCATACCGATACATATTTATCCAAAAATATTAAAAACAAAGAAAAAAAGGTGAAAAAAGGGAGAGAAAAATAATAGTTATCATCCTAAAAAACAAGAGGCTCATACTCTTCACATTCATCATTCATCTTCACACCCTTAGTGAAAAGTTGATTAGTATGAGCCTATAAGTATGGAGAGAATTAGTATTAACAAATAACAATGCTAGAACTTTCCATTAATTAGGAAAAAAAGTGCTTATTATCAAGTTGAAATTGCACAAGAACTTGAAGGAACAACCATAACAGACTACAATGTACACACACAGATGCATGCACTTCAAAGACAGAAAATTTCATTGCTTAAATAAGTTGAGGATCATGCTGGTGCTTTGACAAGCTTAGATGGAAAATCCAGCACCACAATCTTCTCAATAGCAGGTGAAAATATCCCGGAGAACTCAACATGATTTGGATGAGTCTGAAATGCGTTGCACTCCTCTTTCCCATTGAATGTCATCAAGAAAGCATGAGTGAAACCTTGTCTCAGCATTTCATGACTCTCGATGTCCTTCCCCCTGTCTCACAAACATGTCATATACAAAAATGTCTCTATGTATTAATCATTGAAGTTAAACAAAATTAATGGGAGTTTTATAGATTCCCAAAACAGTACTCAAAAGGTTAAAGATTATATCAAGGAATCTAATTCAATTAGTTGCATAAAGTGTTCGAGTTGTCATAAACCTCATAATTCTGAGTTTGATTCTTATACAATCTTTAGTTGATTTTGCTTTTAATTTACAGAATCTAGAAGGCGATCAAACAAATACATGTAGAAAAGTGATTAAGACTCTGTTTAGATACAAGTTAAAAGTATTTTGGGGAATTTTTTTTACTACAAAAAGCTCTCTATATTTAGTAGAAAGCTTTCAAATACTTTTTCAAAACTTGTATCCGATCAGATTCTAAGTGATAAGAGAAAGAAGATAAAGCAAAACAATATACCATTCAAAGGACTTGACATGGTCAATCCCAGAGACCATTTTCTCCAACCCTTGAATGAGTTCTTCAACTGCCACACCATCCTTGAATTTAACAACCACATAGTGATTGAAAGTCCCCATGGCCACAACACAATGAAACTCTAATGAAGAAAAAGCAGGTCCTAGTAGGCAAATATATACACACAAGACCCACAATTTAGCATTCAACTCTCACGGTCTCTATCTGTCCGGTGTCAGATCCTGATGACCAATTTCACCGCCCTAATCAATGACCAAAAAAAGTTTAAGGGGGACAGAATCCAAGACTAAATATTAGGAAAGTTACCACTTTCATATATAGACCCACCAGGGTGCAACTTCTTCTCCACATTTGCACAGTGAACATTGTCTGGTGCAATTGTCGTTGCACTTTGAGTTATGGGTTGGCCTCACTCAGAGTCAGAAAACATTATCATAATATATAATATATGCCACCCTCACTGCCTTTTTCTATTTAACAAAACACTGTTCCCTTGGTCCTTGCCATGTGCACCACCAAGCTAAATTATTCAACTTAAATACTTGTATACATGTCAATGATGCCATCATCTTCTGTACTTGTCGTTAAGGAATCTTGACTTGGGTGAATATAGAACAATGTGATTTATCAAATTTAGCTGTTTAATTGGAATAATGATAATGTATGTATTTTTTTATGTTACTCGAGTTAATATATTGTATTATGGGACATTGGGACTTCTGTGAATTTTTGTGTTTTGTTTTGTACCAAGATGTGCTTCCAATATTATTATTATTATTATCTAGGGTCTGTACACATTTGGCTGGATATGAAATGACAAGTCAAAAAGTAAATGTATTATTGGATTATAGATGGCCTAATAACACCAATGTAATTGGTAATCTGTCTTAATCACCAGTTATCGAACAAAAAACCTTTAAAACAATTGAATTATTTGAGTTGATTTTTTGTTGTTGTGAAGTTTCTGTTTATTTAATCAGAATTTCAATAATTGACGATATTTTAATCAATAATAGACTGCGATGTTTACTCCTATATTACTTTCAAGTTTCAAGACACAGAAAACTTCTATTGCACCGGGAACTTAATGACTATAAGTCTATATAATATAACCTTTTTAGAAAGCATAAATGATAGGTAATGTCATGATATTTTGGGGTACTAAGTAATTTACTTGCCTATTTTTACTATCCTAGGAAGAGTCACTCATCAGTAAGAAGCATGAAATGATTCAAATCTCTGTTCTGTCAGTGTCTCGCATAGAAACTGAAGAGTAAAGAAGTCCTCAAACAAACAAAAAAGTAAAGAAGTCGAAAGTTTGAAACAAAAGTTGCACGGAGTAACTTGCAATTTCATGTCATTATAATACAGAAAATATACTGTGTGCTGAAAATATAAATTCCACTGTCATGCCTTAAGATTCATTTATATTTTAACTAAGTTTTTTAACCAATGATTGTAAGGTTGCTATGAGTTACCGGAGTTAATTTGGTACTCTCATATTCAATTTTAGATTGTGTTAAAATAAAAATTGATCGGAGAAAGTTACATTTCATAAACATAAATTAGTTTTGATTATTAATTTTGAGATATTATATGGACATGTCTATAATAAATAAAAAAATATAAAAAAAGTCATTTATAAGTTTTGACTATTAAAATGTAATGAAATAAAAAGTTAGTTTGAAAATCACAAATTACTTTAATGAGTATTTTTTTTGTCATAGATTTTTTCTACTCACTGATTTAAAGACTAATATTACTTATTATGACTTTTGGCTCAATGAATTTTCTACATGGGGATTGAACACAAATTTCTTGTTATATTCACTGATTTAGAGACTAATATTACTTATGATATTATGACTTTTGTCTCAACGAATTTTCTAAATGGGGATTGAACACGGATTTCTTGTTACATTTGCAAAATATGTGAGTACATGGTACCTAATCACTACTCTAAAGCATTGAATTACTTTTAATGAGTTTAATATCTACATACTGTAAATGTAAAAACATTTTTAAATTGTTGTGACTTTTCTAAATAATACTGTAAATGTTTTTAAATAATATTTACAAATTTTAAATTTTTTTTATAAAGAATAAAATCAAAACCTGTTCATTTAATAAAAATTAAAAACATATTTAATCCTAATATTTATGTTTTGTAATGTACTCAAAATTGTTTTATAAAATAAACGGTTTTACATTTATTATTTAACTTTCAATAAAGGTAGATTAAACAGGTGCCAAGTGCCAAGCAAAATTTTCACAACTATTTTATAATTTAAATTTAAATGAGTTAAATTTTTATAAAATCCACAAACTAATTTTAAAAAAACAATATATATGTTTAATCGAAAATTCATCATTATAAAATAAGTAATTTAGAAAAGTCACAACAATTTAAAAATGTTTATAAAAAAATTTAAAATTTGTAAATATTATTTTTAATCTTTATAAAATAAGTAAATTTTAATTTTGATTCATATATTGATTTTCATCTTCTAAAATTTAAAATTACTATTTTTAGATATTGACGATGATTTTAGGATACATATAATACTTATTTTAACAATTTATAATAATAATAAAAAATTAGAAGCGACGAATGTAAATAAAATATGACTTACAATTAAAAATATCACTTAAAATGATTGCATAATCTTTTAATAAATGTATAAGTAGTTAAAAGAGACAAGTAATAGAAACTAAAATAATAATTTTAGATATGCATGACTAAAATCATGTGGAATCTTGAAACTTGGCTCAGACTTGTTCAAACCTAAAACCGGCCATGTCACCGATTATAGTATTGATAGAGCATAGAGGTTGTGGTTGTGAAATATATATATAAGTAAAAGAATACCAACAAAGAGTAGAATCCACACACATGCACCTCCATTGATCCTGCTTTACCACTATATCACCCAATTCACACAAGCTTTTGTACTTACCTAAAAATATAATAAGTTAGTTTTATATTAGTAATATTATATTTAATTTCAATATAAATTATATATATTTATATTAAAAATTAAGTAATTAATAAAAATTGAGTCATCTCGTTCAACCAGTGATTTAGTTGATTGATTTTTGACTCATTGACTTAGTGCTTTAATTAATTTGATAATTGATTCAATTTTTAAAACTTTGCTTATAAAACTAACTGATAAATATAAAATAAAATAAAATAATTTTTATAATAAGAGTGGAAGTATGATAAGATAGACCAAATAATTTCTAAATTAAAAATAGTATAAAAAAAAGGATTTGAAATAAATTAATGAGAATTAAAAAGGAAAAAAATTATAGGTTATCCAACTCTTAAAATTAACTTGTATAAGTTCAAATAAGTTCCTGAAACAAATTACCAAACACATTCATATCTTAAAATTGACAACTTTAAACTAATATATGCACTTATGAGGTAATGTTATTTTATGATTTTGTTTTCTTAAAGAAACTAATGAAATATGTAAAGTGATAATCATAGAAAATAATATAATTAGTAAGTCATTGAAGAAAAAAGAATAATTTTTTTATTTTGTATAAATGTAAAATAAAAAAGTTGTGTAAAATAGACAATAAGCAAAGATTTATTTATTTTTAATATAACAATTTAAATTGATGATATCAATAAAACCAACTCAAATTTTATTAAATAGATTTGATTTAAATTTATCATTTTTGTAAACTCAAACTTAATAAGACTAATTCAATATGATTAATTTAAAATTGATTTTATCTTAAATCTAAACTAATTAGTTCAGGAAAACTCATAGCTTGCACACATATCTAAACTCAAGTGTCACACATCTAAATATGACATATGAGAGATTTTAATACTATGTGTATGATTTTAAGTTCAAACTTTATTTATGTTATTGTAATTTAGATAGATAAAAAAATATATTTTATTTATATACACTCATAATAATACCATTTCATCTGCAAATATGTTTTTTTTTTCTTTTCAGTGGAGCCCATACCTAAATCTGTTAACTTGATCCATATACGGATCTTGAAATGAAGAAAAGGGCCCTCGACCCAAAGGTGAAAAACCAAACAGCAATTGTTCTTTTATAGAGTTAATCACCTATATACACTGTTAGTGAAAAAAAAAATTTATACTAATAATCAATTATTTTAATTGTGTCATGTCACTATAAACACATTTACTTTTAATAGTGACATGGCACAATTAAAAGAGATAATTAATTGTCATTGTAAAAAAACTTTACACTGACAATATATATAGGTGATTAACTCTTTTTTATATTACCAAACATCAATTTAAGTTCCACATTCACTGTCATGAAACAAAAAGAAAACTTTAAATTAAATAAAGATAGATGATCAACTCAATAATTCAATCAAATTAGGCAAAGCAAATTAAAATAACAAGTCAATTATTCAACTTGCACAAACTGTCAATTATCAACAAAAAGCTTGAATTAAAAATTCCAATTCTATTTGACCAATGCCCAAAAGGCCCAAGAGTAGTTTTAAATCTAGAATTCCCAAGCACAGTCAAACCAGTCAAAAAAAAAAAAAAAAAAACTTTCATTGATTGCAATTGCAAACCTCCTTTGAATTAAATTAAGTTTAATAGTTCCCGTTCATCAAATTGAAAAGAATTCAAAATACGGAGTGAAGAACGATCTTAATATTGAGAAAAGGTCAAAACAATAAGTGTAAAACCAAGGAACGATCCTAATTTGCTAGAAATTAAGTTCAGAAACACATTGTATTGGTGTGAAAATCTGACAAAAAGAAGTGATGGAGAATCTCCACAAATCAAGGAAAAAACTAGGTGATGAAAAGTGACCTACAAAATTGGGTCTATTTTTAACTCCCCCCAAACTCATCCCAATAAGTTCCAATAGGCCTTGACCAAGTAAATTTGGGCTATTTGTGTTCAAACCTTTACAGAAAGTTAGGGTGAGAATTGTACATAAAAGTTATATCATGGAAGTTATCTTTCAATTGGAAGTGGTCCAACATCAAATTATGGCCCAATAGGAAGTTTTTGGTATGATTCACATCTCAGAACTTCAGAACTCAGAAGTCATAACGACTGCTCCGACTTCCACACTCGTTTTGAACTTTCGAACATCATAATTAATTGTTGAGGTCATCACAAGTTTTGAAAAGAGTTCTTTTGTTAGCTTTTCTGAAACATACATTTGTGATTTTTTACACTTGTGGCTCAAATTATATTCAAAATTACAGAAGTAGAAATACTAAAGCCTAATTGGAAGTTCACAGGTGATATAGCATACAACGCTCTTAGAATCTAAATCAATATATATGCCAGCTTTTTATCATCCTTCTTTCATGTCATGTACTAGTCATTGTAATTTATGTCAATCTTTTACGTAAATAAAGAAAAATATTAATTTTGTTAGCATATTTTACACAGAACAGAAAATACCAAAATCCATAACATGTTAATAGTAAGAAGAAGAAAAAACTCAACAATAGAAATGTTAAAGAAAATAATGCTACTAATTAAACTGAGTTATGTTTTTAACATACTAATAGTAGAAAAGTTAAACTCCAAAAAAAAAACATTTTATATAGTAAAAAGAGCATGAACAGGTAAGCATGAAATATTTGATATTTGTTAATATTAACCAGTTAATTTTATTTAATTAAACTTATGTTAGTATTTATTTAAAATTTTGTTATTTAATTGAGAAAAATGGGTGATATGTTATATTTGAATAAATTTGAAATTTAGTGTCATTTAAATAAAGTTTAAGTTGATAAAATGTACTTTATATATATATATATATGGGACACTGATCCTTTGTGCTGTCCCAAACCATTTTATGTCCATATAGATTCGATTTGTTAACTTTATGAGATTTAGCAAGCTTCGTAAGCTGCCACCCCACCAAAGCATCCACCTAGGATTTATTCTCTCGTGTCTAACGCACACTCATCATCGTTAGGCTTCATTTATCCACGTGCCTATCTCCTGCATCCAATAACATTCAACCAATTAACATTAACCTTAAAAGTTAAAACCTTCCATTTACTATATATATATATATATATATATATATATATTAACCCTTCTGCCTATTTGAAAAGTAGGACACAATTTATTTTTATCTTTTCATGAAAAAGGAAAAATAATTAAAGTAAGAAAATATTATTAATTGTAAAACTACAATGCCACTTTACGATGAAATTAAAACAAATTAAGAAATTTATTTTGGTGCTGTATCCTTGACATTATTTGAAAGATTTATTAAGACAAAAACAGCATTTTATTTTTATGATTAGTTCAGTTATTTTTATTGAAAATATATAAAAATTAATGAATGCAAATCAAACTATATATAAACACCCCTGTATCATGAAGAATGACAATTTGATTTTTTTTTTTTTTTTTTTTTTTTTCCATATCTATCCATATTAGATTCCAGTGGAAGAGAAAGGTGTGGATTGGATTTGACACTATATATGTGGAGACAAAACTAGGGTAGTTACAACATTAAAATAGAGAAAAAGATGCCGTTGTTAAAGAATGGCTCACGTCCACGATTAACTATATAAAGGTATAGTTAAAAATTTAGTTCTTTTGAAACACAACTGATAAAATAAATAAAAATAGCTCCTAATTTAACCGACTGTATCTTAAATTCTGGATTTAAATAGTACAGGTAAATAATAAAATAATTTTGTGGAAAGTGCACAAAAGAAGTAGTCATAGATTCTTTTAACTAGAATACAAAGACAATCATGTTCAAGTTTAATAAAATTAATATACACAGTCAAATTTTGTCCCAACTATTTCACATTATTACATATTTAGGATTTGATCTTTTCATATATATATATATATATATATATATATATATGTATGTATGTATGTATGTATGTATATATGAGAAAAAATTTATTTACTTCAAGAATAATTAAGTCTTAGTAAATTTACTTCACTCAATAATTTAATTATTTTCAACAATTTAATCATTAAATTAAAATTAATATTTTTATGCATTGATCAAGTTTGTAAGTTAAAAAAAATAAAATTATTTGATATATACTTTGTTTCATTAAAATAAATTGATGGATATATAATCATAAAAAATTGTATACATTGATTTAAATTTATATAATGATATATCATATGATTTTTAAATTTATAAAAAAAATTATAGACTTGATATATGGATTAAAAATTTTTAATTCAACAGTTAAATTATTAAAATTTAATATAAAATATGAATTATTAAGTGAAATAAGTTTATTAAGAGTTACTCTTAGAGTAAGTAAATTATTTCTTTCTTTCTTTTACTATATATATATATATATATTAATTTTTTTACTTAATATATATAATTTTGTCATATTGATCTTTTCTCTTAAGGTACATGAACATGCATGCCATGGGATCCGAAAAAATCTCTTTGATAAATTAGTAAAAAAAAAAAAAACAAAGGAGAAATTAGGAATACTAATTAAAAGTACTTGAACTATCAAATCGTTTAGACAATCTCCAAGTTTAATCTTTAACGAAAACAATCTTTGATAAAATTTTATTTACCTCACAACCAAATCAAATTAATTTAAAGTAAAATTTTAAAATATTGGTAAAAAAAAAAAAAAAAGTACGTGTACCATTGAAGTTTGATTCAATTAATACAAAAGAGAGTCATACTCATATCTCACAAAGATATAAGCAAGTTTGATTCTCACTGTAAATATAAAAACTTAATTAAAGTGTAATCTGTAAATATTCCTAGGAACATTGATTAAAGTTTAAAATGGAGGCAGATGGTATAAGTATATATGGAATTAGTTAGTCCACAAAGTGAGGTCTATTTGAGAAGCAAGATCATCCCAATCCATTGGTGTTTTGATAGATGGCGGGGTGAGAAGCAAACCCTCTGCCATGCTATCCAACAAAGCTGGCATATTGTAGAGTGCCTCCTCATCAAAAAACATTGTTTGGGACTCATCATTGCTATTGCTATCAGGAATACCCTCCAATCCGAGCATGCTGAAGTTGAAACAAGGACATTGATGAGCATTATTCCCATTGTGAGAGGAAGAAAATGTGAGGTCAGCAGAAGTAGCTTTTGCTGCTGCAGCTCTTATGTCAATAGCAGAAGATGAGTTTGGAAGTGGAAGAAGGGAAACTGATTCAGGAAAATTGAACTTGGCTGAGGTGCCACTAAGTGCTAAGACAGCCACGTCATGTGCCCTAGCAGCCATTTCAGGAGTAAGGTAAGTCCCTACCCAAATCCTTGATTTGTTTTTAGGTTCTCTTATTTCACACACCCATTTGTTCCCGTTTCTTTGCCGTACACCCCTATACACCGGGTGTCGTGTTTCCCTGAACTTTTTTCTCCCAGCTTTCCTCTTGTGAGATGAACATCTAGGGTTTGGTGATGATGGACTTTGAGATCCATTATTATTCTCAAACTCCATAGTTTATAATTTAGAGTGTTGAAGTGAGGTAGCTAGGTGGCTATATATATAGCATGGAGAACGCGACTTGAACAGGAAATTCACACGGAGAAGGAAAACGTGCTACACATTGACTCCATCATTTTCAACCATGTTGCTTAATTTCTTGATATTGATGATATCTTATACACAAATTCTACGGTACCATCTTATTTGAGAGGGTACCGGTACAGTTTTTTATATTTTATATTTTTAATAATTTATTTAAATAATATTTATGATATTTTATTCTTTTAATTTTTAAACTATTTAGTTATTTTATTTTTATTTTATATATTCTAATTTATTTGTAATAATATTATTATATATTTAAATAGTTTAATTTTAATAAATTTTTAAAAAGAATGTATTGAAATTTCTCAATCTTTGGGGGTACGTAGTAACTCCCGAAAAGAGAAATTTTGTCTTTTTGTTTTAAAATTTTGAATTTCTATATTATAATTTTAATAATTTTTTATTTCTACTATTTATTAACTTTTTTCTTTTTTAATATTTTATAATATTATTGAAATCTTATAATTTTAATCTCTATAATTTTATCTTATTTTTTATTTTATAAGTATAATTTGTATTATTCACTTTATAATTAAATTAATTTTTCTAAATCTTTTATAAGTTTACATAGAAAAATGTATTAAAATCCCTCAATCTTTGAGGTACCGTAGCAACTCCCTATCTTATATGGTGCAACCTAACCTGCTTTGGTTTGGTTGGGAGCGCCACGTGGAACAGGAATAAAGGGTATGTTATTATTCCATCCTTCCACAATGGATTAGTAGTAAATGAACTTATTAATTTATAAGAAAAATAATAATAATTTCACACATATTATAGATGATTAAAGAAGATAATTAAATATATTTCATTTTTATTATTTTATATAAAATATATATTATATTTACTAAAATATCTTTTATCACATTTATTCTAGATACTACTTTATTTATTACTTTAGAGATATTTTTGGATAAAGAAAATTAAATAAAATTAACTTTGATTAAAATTTACTTATATTTAAGTCCAAAAAAGTTAAACTTTTTGTGCTGATATATAGGTCTAGAGGGAGTAATACACACTCACACAATAAACTATTAAGTTTAAATTTATTTTTAAAAAAAACTAATATTATAAAAATAGGAAAGGGGGGCCTTAAATTAAAAAATGAGATTAATTGAAATTTTTAGTTTTTAATAAATAATAAAAATGTGTTCAAAATTGTAACACTATGAGTTTTGTTAATTATTATTTTTTTATTAATTATATGTTGTGATGTTTTAAAGTGTGATTGTCAGAGACTTTACGAGTTAAGAAACTATTGAGAAATCTTTAAGTATTTTAGTAAGCTTCTCTAGACAAAAGTTTAGTTTGACCTTGAGAAAAGAAGTATATAAGGTTCTTTAATTTTAAGAATCGAGTCTCATTAATTTAGTTCTTAAGAATTTTATAGAGATAAATTAGAGAAAAACTTTTGAAAGTCTATGAGTTTCTCTTCATATCTAATCCTCCTCTTGAGAGGGAAAATTCTTTACTCGAAGTTTTGATTAGTTATGTGTGATTGATTCAGGTCCTTATAGTCGTGAGTTTGAGTTGTGAAGTTGTGCATAGTTCTCGAAGGAGCTCGATTTGTTCGTTCTTCTTCCTCTCCTTTTCTCAAATTCTTGAGATTTTGAGGTAAAGAAAGCTAAGACCAGAATCTGGTTTGAGTCCTATGCATGTAAATGTCTACTAATTGGTTGTAATGGTGAGGTTGAATTGCATGAATTTGAAAGAAATGGTGTTGAAACATGTGTCTTTGGTTATCAAAGAGAGAAATTTGATGATTTTGACTTATACTTGGTTGCATGTTAAATTTGAGCTTGGATTCATGTTGTTGATGATTTATTGCAATGCATGTTTGATTTTTTGGTTTTTAGTTGAAGGAAAGATCAACTCATGAATCTGATATGATTACTTTGTCAACATGGATAGGTTAAATGAATTTATTGCATGTTGTATGTTACCAGGTATTAAGGTCTATGTATATTGATCCGGGATAATATATATAGATGATTATATAGTATTAAACTATTGAAGTGCAATTATGTTGTACATTGATTAATGTTATTAGATCTATAACTACTAACTTGGGGCAATGCATAAAGATGATAATTATTAAGTTTTGATGTTGAGAATGTTTTAAATATTAATTAGCCCTAATTTGTTGACTTGTTGAGGTGTGATATTGAGAATATTTTAGGCATTTAGACATGATTTATTGACCTATTAAGGTGTTGATGTTAAAAATGTTACATGCATTTGGTGGATGGTGGTGTAGTTAGAGGCTACTTTTGTATATATGTTGTAGAGTTACTTAAACGATAATTTAGGGTTTTTATTTCACAATGATGAATTACTGTATACACATGTATATTTTTTTTATTCCTCAATTGTTTTATATATTATATGTATCGTGTGGTACTTGTATCCAGATGATGTGAATACATAAATATTAGATATTTTAGTTGTTTTTCGCTGCTAGATGTTGAGTGGTTAAGCGTAGAAATCATAGCAAGTTAGTACAAAAATAATATTTCATCCAATCAGAAATACAATATATATAACACTACTACAAAATGCATATTTTACATCGGTTCTTTAAATTGTGAATTACAGTGGATTGTCTATCTGTTTCATGATTTGCAGGTGAAATGCTTTAGGCCACCAGTATTGTATTGTGACAATCAAAGTGCACTTCATATCGCAGCAAATCCAGTCTTTCACGAACGTACCAAACATCTTGACATTGATTGTCATTTAGTTGGGGAGAAATCACAAGCTAGACTAATGCGTCTCTTACCAATTTCTTCACAAAGACAGATAGCAGATTTCTTCACTAAGCCTTTGTCCCCAAAGCCCTTCTATGAGTTCTTGGCTAAGCTAGGATTGCTAGACATTTTCCATCCTCCAGCTTGCGAGGGGGTATTACACAATTCATCCACTACCACCACTATACACGATTCATCCACTACCACCACATCCGGAACGCATCACAGCTAGCATGATGAAGTTTGTTATACAGTTATGGGATCAGCCAATCTACATCCGAATCTATTTTAATTTCCTGCACCTCTTTTATTGTATAAAAGACAACAACTAGTGTACTGGTAAAATCATCAGAAAATCAATGAAAATAATTCCATAATTTTCTCAGTAATACACCCTACGTTTTCTTCTTAATCACATTCAACGGAAAAGATAAAAAATGTTACTTCTCAGTTTAGTGCTTTAGAATGTGTGTTTATTCCGTTTAACGAAATCTAACGATAAACCAAACATGCTCTTAATCTTTGACTCAATGGGTTAAGAATACTTGTGATAGAACAAAAAATAATCATATATTTATGCATTTGACCAATATTAACATCTCAATAGTTTATATTAATATATTTTAGTATTAAACGTTATTAGTACATGTTGCTCGACACTTGTATTCTTTTAATTAAAAATTGAAGTTCAATCTCTAAATTAGATATAAAGTCATAATTGAAACTAATATTTTACCTTTATAATTTAGCTAAATCGATAAGAGAGAGTAATAGTTTCTAGTTATATTATATGTCTTTATGTTTAGTGATTGAAAGAAATATTTTACTTAAGTTAACAAAAAACCTTGTAGTGGGCCAAAGACATAATTAAGTATTTGCCTAGGTAAACTTGATTAGAAGCACTTCTAAAAGAAAAAAAAAATTAAGGAAAAATAAAGTCTTTTTATAAACTAAAATTAGCTTATGAATTTGTAGAAACTCTCATACTAACTTTTTCAAAATCTGAATTTTAATTCACGCATTAACTAGTGTAGAAAACAATATGTCTATTTTTTCTCTTAAAAATATATTTTTTAAAAAATTATCCAAACAAACTCTACTAAACTAGACAATTTATATGCCATTGAAATTAAGCAAATTAAAATGGAATCCAAACTGTTACATCCTCCAATTTAATTTTTCAGCAGAGGAGTTTTGATTCTGAAACACGTAGGATTGGATAGTCTTGATTCTAAAACCACCAACTACTATACAAATCAAATCAAGAACGTACCGACTAATATTTCGTATCATATATATGTCAAGTGTTACTTTTGACTAATTATAACACACTCACATAACATGAAGAATGCCTCGTGTACTGCCATTACATGCGGGGTGATTGCAAACATTTTCTAATTTTTTGAAACAATTTCTTTGTACTCTCATTTCTTCCTACTTCGTTGACCGTCAACGTAGCCAACATTTTGGTATACAAAAGTTCCCCTCTTTCTGTAATGAAATTGTGAACTATGATATCCTAATATTATTAAGATTTATCTTTTCCAACTTAATTAAGAAGTGGAAAGGTATCCCAACAACCATATAATAATAATAACAACAAAATAAATGTTGTATGAAAAAAATGAATTGATTATAGACGCAGAGTAAAGAAATGAAAATGAAATTATAGTGTGTGTTGTGTCAGACATTAACTGTATTGACAGATAGACAGACATGGTTAGTGTAGACAACAGAAGTTAAGAAAGTTATTTAAGTGAGAGAAGATCCTCGTTGAAGTGATAATTGATTCTGCGTCATCAAAATATTTATGAGTCAATAATGGAGGGTTTTGATACAAGTATCAAAGTATTCTCTATCAATTATAACCGACGGTTATCCATGTGTTCTAAAATTAATGATATTTTTAGTTTTTATTCTAAAATTATTATTGTTTTACGAGTTGTAATTCCTAATAACTTCTCTATATATGTAGGAGAGAAGGAAAAAAATAATGCTTTTAAATATTTATTTAAAGAGTAAAATAAATTATAAAAAACAATATAAGGAATGATTATTAAAGGAGAATAATAAAAAAAATGTTAATAACTGAAGAGAATAATAGTCTAGTAAGTATGAAGATCGAAAGTAGTACTAAAAGGAGTAATTTTTTTAGAGGAAGTATTTCCTTT